GATTTCATTATTTGAAAGGCAGAGTGACAGAGAGAGGAAGATACAGAGAGAAAGATCTTCCATCACTGCTTCACTCCCTAAGTGGCCACAACAACCAGCTCTGGGCCAGGCTGAAGCCAGGAGCCATGAACTCCATCCAGGTCTCCCACGTGAGTGGCAGGGGCTCGCTACATGGGCCGTCTTCTGCTGTCTTCCCAGACACATTAGCAGGAAGCTGGACCACAGCAGAGTAGCCGAACTCAAACTGGCACTCCAAATGCAGGATGCTGGTGCTAGAAGCGGTAGCTTATCCCATTGTGACACAACACCTGCCCCAGTTTGTTACTGCTCAGTAGTAGTCCACTGTATCAAAGGAGCCGCAGTATTTTTATCCGTTCACTAGCTGAGGATATTTAGGTTGTTGCTGGAAAGTTTTAGGAAATTAGGAAGAAAGCTGCTACACACATTAGTGTGTGCACAATCCATGTTTTTCTGTGAACATAAGTTCTCATTGCTCTGAGACAAATAGGTAGGAGAGGAAAGGCTGAGCCGTATGACAGATGTTTTTGATTTCCAAGAGATGGTCACAAAGTGTTCTAAGGTGACTGAGCCGATATGTATCAATACCAGCAGCATTAGCAATATATGAGTTCCAGTTGTTCCATGTCAGTTGTTTTAAGTTAGCCTTTTTAGTTAGGCATAATAATGTATCACTGTGGCTTAATTTGTATTTCCCTACTGGCTAATGTTGATTATTTTTTCATATTTTCCAGCCAAATATTTTCCTTGATAAAGTATTTGTACAAATATTTTGCCCATTAAATAATTGGTTTTTTTTCCCCCTTTATTTGAGTTTCAAGAGTTAAGAATATTATATGGGTGGATTCAAGGTTTGTTTGTGTTGTCGGGAGCCAGTAGTGACTCTGTGGAGTCAACTTGGCTGGACTACTCATGCAGAGTATTCCTTTGTCTCCCATCGGACACCTTGTATGGGTCTTTGAGCTCAGGGTGAGGATGAGGGGGGTACTGACCGAGGCTCACTAGCACTGAGAGTTGTCCTGTTCAACCGACAGCCCCCTCCACCGCAGCAGCTCTCTGGAGAACACTCTCATGGGACCCAAGGACCCAAATACTCTGGTTTTGCCCCTAATCTTGGGGCTCCATCCACGTGCCTTGTTCCCCAACTCCTACCTAATGCGTCAAACTTGCTCTGTCCGAGGTGCTGATCATCCTGCTGGTCCATGAGCCGCTGCCGACAAAGTGGTCTCCCTCCTTTCAGATAGCTGGTGTATTAGTTTCCTAAGGCTGCTGTAATGAATTATTCCAAACTTGGTGGCTTGAACGACAAAAATTTGCTCTCTTACGACCTGGAGACAAGAAGTAGGAATCAAGGTGTCAGCAGGGCTTTGCTCCCTACAGAGGACCTAGGGGAGAACCCATCCCACGCCTCTTTTGGTTTCTGGTGGTTGCTGCTTCCTTGGCTATGGACACCTCCCTCCAATCTCTGCCTTCATGGTTCTGTCACCTTTTCTTCCATGTCTGTCTTCTCTGTTTGTCTCTTATAAGAACACTTGTCATTGGGTTTAGCGCCCACTCAGATAATCTGGTAGGATCTCCTTATCGAAAGATCTTTAGCTTAATTACATTTACAAATAATTTTTCCAAATAGAGTTACAGGTTCTTGGATTTAGGGTGTGTATCTTTAGGGGCTAGATCATCATAACACCTGAAGTTCTGCCTTCCAGGAAGAGTGACAAGTTCCTTCCTTGCTATCCAGTGTCATTGAGTGGGGATGTCCTGCCACAGCAGTCCACTCCTACCTGGTGCCAGTATGCTACAAGATCTCTCTCTACAGCAGGCAGAGAAGGGCTACCTGACCCAGCCAGCTTTCACAGTGAAATAAGAAAGCCCTACAAGGACTCCCACACGGCAGGGTGTCACCTCCAAATAAGAAGGGGGATAAGATGCTGGTCAGCTAAAAACAAGATGGAACAATGTAACAAATTCCACTGGAGGTCAGAATCACCAACTTGTATCTTTCAAGTCATTGATAGTGACCGATTTCTAAACACTTGGGACATAATATCGATTTTTAAAGATTTATTTATTTATTTGAAAGGCAGAGTTACAGAGAGGCAGAGAGAGAGAGAGAGAGAGGTCTTCCATCTGTTGGTTCACTCGAAAAGTGGCTGCAATGGCTGGAGCTGGGCAATCTGAAGCCAGGATCCTGGAGCTTCTTCTCGGTCTCCCACATGAGTTCAGGGGCCCAAGGACTTGGGCCATATTCCACTGCTTTCCCAGGCCATAGCAGAGAACTAGATTGGAAGTGGAGCAGCCAGGACTCAAACCTGAAGCCATATGGGATGTCGGCATTGCAGGAGGTGGCTTTACCCGCTATGCCACAGCGCCGGCCCCATAATATTGTTTATATTTATTATTTGTGGGGTTTGAGGGAGAACAGGGACTTTGGCTTAGCTCTTTCCAGCACTGTATACTTTTAGCTCAAGAGTCATGGACCCGAGGTGAGGATTTTACAGTTACTGAGGTGATCTCATGCAATCACTTGGGAACACGGGATGGTTTCAAGACCTTGCAGTTCAGCAACCTCATACTCTGAATCTTTGTAAAAATGATCCTATGGGGGCTGGCATTGGGGCACAGTGGGTTAGTCCAAGCCAGCTGTGCCAGAATCCCATATGGGTGCTCATTCGAGTCCCAGCTACCTCACTTCGGATCCAGCTCCCTGCTGATGCAGCTGGAAGAGTGGCAGAAAATGGGCCAAGTGCGTGGGTCCCTGCACCCATGTGGGAGACCTGGATGAAGCTCCTGGCTCCTGGCTTCAGACTGACTCAGCCATGGCTGATGTGGCCATTTGAGGAGTGAACCAGCAGATGGAAGATCTCTCTCTCAGTCTCTGTCTCTCTAACTCTACCTTTTGAATAAAATAAATAAATATTTAAAAATAAAAAATGGTCCTATGTCCATAGCAACCAGGCTTAACAGACACCTTGTGGCAGATCACATCAGGGTCTGGAATTTCATTTTACTCCTTGAATAAATCCAGACACTGGAGCTTATCTTGCGTGATGTTATTCAGTGCCGTCATAAGCAGGCATCCTATGCAGTGTTCCTGATTTCTTCATTCCCTTTAAGGCTATCTAGGGCCCAAACTCAGTTCCCCAAACTTGACCTTCAGATGGCTTGTGGTGCTTTGTTCACAGCTGATATCTGATGAGCTGTTTCTGCTCTGCGTACTGTGCATAGGCTGCTGTCTTCCCAGCTCTGAACATCAACAGGAGTCTTAAAGCTCTTTGCATAGCCTAGAACCCCCTTTCTGGTGCCAATATATGGGTTAGAGAGGGCTTTTTGGTGCCAACAGCCAAAGCCCACTTAGGCTAATGAAAGCAAAAGGAAAGGAAATAGAAGGCTATTGAGTGGGTCACAGAGCTGTCTGAGGTGGGACAGGAATCAAGGTGGCTGAGTAGAAGGAGCACATGGATTGCTTCTTGATAAGCAACACCCCCCCCCCCTTCATGTCAATTCAGATTCCCTAGAGACAGGGATGCCCCAGCTAGGATCACGCACCCAGTCCTTTCTCTAGGGTCTGCCTGTCCTGAGATTGTCTTCTCCCCATAACCTTGGGAAAGCTATACCAGGCAGGCCAAATAAGTGTTATCCATCCACTCTTAAGAGGAAGATTCAGTCCCTGCTCTGGGGGAGCTCCCAGTCCGATGGTGGAGACAATGCTGTGTTCTGGATGAACTTCCAGGCTGATGGTGAGGGTTGGTCACAAAGCTAAAGGGGAAACTTAAAAGGAGGCACAAACACAGGAAATGGTACAAATATGTTCAAGGCAGGGTTGTTTTTAAAGACTGGAAACTGCCAAAAACACATCAAGGGAGAAATTGTTAGGTAATTACGGTATGTGCCTACTCTGCATCACTCTACCACATCATTATACAATAGCTAAAATCATGTTTTTGAAAAGAATAATGTGAGAAAATACTGATGGTATAATGCTAAGTGAAAAAAATTGTATACAAAATTTATAGATGTTAACATCCAACTGTGTAAAGCAGTGTGCATAGAAGAATGAAGATGCAACAAAATGTTAACACAAGTCATAATAATAAAAATAGACATTTTAAAATGTCGATATGTGAAGCCCTGGGTTCAACATTTTACATGTTCTGTTACCTAACCTTATATGATACTCTTATCACCCCCAAAAGATAAAGAAATGAGGCTCTGGAAAATTATGTCTATGGATGGTTACTTAGCTAGCAACTGCTTGGCCCAAACTAAGGTCTGTCTAAGGCCTAAGTCCATATTTGTGAGATGATCTTGTCTCTCTTTCACTCCTAATGTTATGAAAGATTTTTATTCTTTTATGTATACATTCCTCAGTTTTTCTAACTCTCTATTGTAGGCATGTATTTGCAAAATCAAGAGAAATATGTCTCTTTCAAAGTGACAAAGGGAATTATTCAACAAAGACATATAAACCAGGGGAGAAAGGCATCGTATTGACTAAGGGTGTGTGCTCAGGCCGGGAGGGCTCGGACAGGATGTTCTTTGCTGTGCTTTGTAGTTGCTTCTGGCGTCAGGATCAGTTTGCATATCTTATTTGTACTACATGCCCAAGGTTTTCATAAAGGTCAAGGAAATGTGTGTTATGAAAAAAAAATGCATGAACTGCAAAGGTTTTTTTGCAGCAAAACAAACCTGGGTTGTAATTCCATTTCCCACGACTTTTTTGTAAGCTATTCGTGTTATATACATAAACAGCTCGCTGTCTTTGAAGGCAGGGGCCCTGTGCTTTGTGATTCAATAGTTCTAGCTTGGGTAACCGCTGAGTGACAGACAGGGATGCGAAACCAGGGAACCGCAAGAGACAACCAGCAAAGAGTTCGCTGGCTTGCGGGTGGTGGGGTGGGAGCGAGCAAGGGCGCAGAGGGAGCATCGGAGAGCGAGGCGGGGATGTGGGAGGCGCTTCTGTGCGGGGATGTGGTTTTGCGGCTGGGAGGAGCCGAGGAGGGGAAAATGTGACAGCCGCAGCCCCGCCTTGAGAAGCAAGGTCCCGACTCCCAGGGCACAGGGCGAGCGGCTGGAGGGCTAAGTTCAGGTCTTGGCGGCCGCAGGCCCCACCTCTGCCGTCCACCCCGGCCCCGCCTCGGCGCCCAAGCGCTGGCCGCGGTGCTGAAACTCGGTCTCCGCGCAGGGCGGCCGAGGGGGCGGGGCTCCCTGGAGCGCTGAGCCGGGAAAGGGGAGGGGGCAGGGCGGCGCCTCTGGCCGGAAACCTTGGCAGTCGCAGAGCAGGCCGGAGGCACCAGATAGGCCTGGCTAGAGCCGGCGCAGGCCACCGGCCAACGTTCCCCGACGAAGCCAAGATTGTCCTTGTCCCTGGCAAGCCTCTTCCTCCCACCTTGGAGAGACCTTCCCCTTGGGCCCTGACCTCGGCCTTCTCCCCAAAACTTGAGGAGTGACCCACCTGCGGGACCTACAACCACAAAGGCGCGCCCTCACCATGGCGAAGCTACTGCCGGCCCAGGAGGCAGCCAAGATCTACCACACCAACTACGTGCGCAACGCGCGCGCCGTGGGCGTGATGTGGGGCACACTCACCATCTGCTTCTCGGTGCTGGTCATGGCCCTCTTCATCCAGCCCTACTGGATCGGCGACAGCGTCAGCACACCGCAGGCAGGCTACTTCGGACTCTTCTCCTACTGCGTGGGCAATGTGCTGTCCTCCGAGCTCATCTGCAAGGGAGGCCCGCTGGATTTCTCCTCCATCCCCTCCAGAGCCTTCAAGACCGCCATGTTCTTTGTGGCCTTGGCCATGTTCCTCATCATTGGCTCCATCATCTGCTTCAGCTTGTTCTTCGTCTGCAACACGGCCACTGTCTACAAAATCTGCGCATGGATGCAGCTGGCTGCGGGTGAGCAGGGCTGGGGGGCTGGGGAAGGCAGGGGCCCCCGTGGTGCTCAGCTGTAGCCTAGCCGTGCTCGGTGCTTTATGGGAGATTCTGAGGAGTAGAGGATCTTGGGATGGCTGAGGCGGAAAGGACCCTAGAGATCAAACTGTTCCACCCTCTTATCTTACCGATGAAATTCGGAGCCCAGAGGGGGAAAGCGACTTGCCTGGGAGTACAGGACATCTAGGCCACCACACCAGGGGTTCTTGCAGCTCTGAGAATGAGGAAGAGGGAAGCTCCGTGGTCCGCCATGTGGGCATAGGACCACACCCCAGGTGAACAGAGATGTCAAACCCTGTCTCAGTGTCCTCATCTGTCACTTCTGGGCGATATTCTTTCTCCTTGAACAGCGCCCGGACACTGGTTCCCACTCCTTCCTTTCCACCCCCAACTGCTCTTCGGGAAGGTGCCAAGGTTAGTCATTGATTTTGAAGCGTGACTTCACGCCGAGTGTGGCTTCTGCCATGGAAACTTGTGTCTGAAGTCTGCTCATTCTCTGTGGAGTCTTGAGTCTGTGTTCCCTGCTTCTGGGATTCCATACTCGAGGCGGCAAATGCAGTGATGCTCTGAGCTGGAGGGAGGCTGTGCAGGTTATGTAAAACTCCACAGAGGAGGAGGTCATTGTGGTGCTCTGGGCAAGGCCTTCCCTACCCTTCTTCCTGTTTCTGGCCCCAGGCAGGCCTCTTAGTCCTTGGGCCAACTAGTCTTGCTCTCCTCTGGGGCCCAAGGAGAGGCCTAAGACCTTGTCCTGCAGTCTTTGGTTTCTCAGTCCCTGCCCACCCCAGTTTTGCACAAAGATTGTCCATGCTGCTGACAGGAGCAGTGCTGGGGCCTGGAGGCTACAGGAAAGCCATCTTAGGGGCACTGGTTACAGTGAGAAGCTGAGTAATAGGTGGGAAAAAACCCGAATCTGAATCCCAGACCACCAAGCACACAGGACCAAGCTGCAGAGTTGGAGGGGACCCTGGAGCGCTGTTCCCATCCCCCAGCCCCCGAATCTAGATGAGGACTCTGGGGGCTAAGAGAGAGGATCCGACTTGGCCAAGGCTGTGTCAGATCAGCTGGCAATGGAGAATGTGGTGCGGGTCCTGGGAAGCTCGATGTATTCAGTGCGCGAACCTGAGGAGGAGGAGCCTCATCCCAGCGCAGTGAGGTGCGGGCTCCTCCAACAGACGCGGCTCCTGGGGGCTGAGACGAGCCAGCGACAGACTTGATTCCCACACTTGCACTAAGGCCACTCCCCTGGCTTCAGAGCTGCCCCCAGACCCTCCCACTATCTCCTCCTCCTCTCTAGTTTCCCTGTGGATTACAAGAGGCCAGGGCAGGTGTGAGTCAAGTCCTGGTGGGCAGAGAGGAGAAAGAAGGGGGAATAAAGACTGAAGAGCAGAATGGATCCTGCCGCACTGGACAGCTGGTCCTCCCATCAGGGCCTTCACACCACGGCCACGGGATGCTGGAGACTCACCCTCCTCTCTCATCCTCAATGCTGTGCCCCTGCTCCCCACCCCACCCCCGAACATTCTGCAACAGGTGTAATTGCTGAGCTGGCCTGGGTCATTTGAGTCAGACCTATCTGGGTCACAGACCTGGAGACACTGATAACAGAAGTGGCCAGGTGCCATCCCATGAAACATTTATACCGGGGGCAGGCAAAGGTGGTGTCACGTTCCATCGCGCTGAGCTGGGAAGGGAGGATGAGCCTGAGGGAGGAAGAGGGGGGTGTGCCCCACAGCCAGCAGCTGGGAGAGGCATCCACCTGAGGAGCCCTAGACCGGTTAGCTCAGGTTAGCTCATCACTGCCAAGAAGCCCAGGAGCGAGGAGGGGGTGGGGCGGAGAGTAGGCCTGGTGACAGGAGCATCACCCATCACCGTGGGGCTGCTGCTAACAATATGAATAGAAGTTCTGGAAGCCGGGGGTGCTCTCAGTCCCTGCAAGCAGAGGGAGAGCAAAATTGCCTGTGACCTCTGGGTCTTGGTGACCTCAGGTGTTAGTCACTTTGGGCTGCTAGAGCGAACTATCATAAACGGGGGGCTTAAGCAACAGAGCCTAGTTTCTCACAGTGCTAGAAGCAGGGAGCCTGAGACCCGGCTGCCAGCTGTCGGGCTCTGGTGAGAGCCTCCTTCCGGGTTGCAGACTTCTGACATCTTACATGGTGGCAAGAGGGTGAGAACAATCCTGGGGTCCCTTCTATGAAGCCGCAGTCCCACCCTCCGAAGGCCTCGTCCTCTGATGCCATCACAGGGGCCGTGAGGATGTCAACATCAGAATTTCGGCAGATGAAACACTGAGTCCATCGTATGTCATCTGCAGGATGTGGCAACTCTCTGCCTTTTCCCTAGGATCCTTATGAGGTCAGGCATGTCCAACCCCTTGCCTGGCACATAGTAGGTGCTCAGTTAATGTGAAAAACACAGAAAGTGCTTGAGCACTCAGGCTGGGAAGCGACACCACGGTAGCAAACAGCTCCCAAGCTCCCAAGCTCCAAGGGGCTTAAAGCACAGGCCTGCCTCGTGTTTATGGCACACAACCACTAGCATTAGCTGTCCTGGGCTACGGTCATTGAGGACATTCCAGAAGGTCTCCTGCCAGCAGTTAAAGGAGGCCAGGAAGTACCCACATTTCTGCTCGTGCCTTATTGGTGAAGGAAGTCATGTGGCTGTGCCCAACCCCAAGGGAAGGGGCGGGGAGCACCATCCTGCCAAGCACCTGGTGTGTTTGTGAGCAGGGCTAGTGATACCCACACCCTCTGAGGTGGCTTCTCTCTGACTACTGTGCCGGTAATAATAGCAAGGACTGACATTGCTTCGCCACTCATGAGCGAGACACCGCAGTAAACATTTTCTACACAGGATCACACTTGGTTCTCACAACCCTGCTGGGAGTTAGGCATTGGTCTGTCTTAAAGATAAGAGAATGGAGATCAGAAAGGATGCGTGAATTGGCCCCCAGAACACCATGCTGGTCTCTATTGAGAGCCCTGAGGCATGCCAGTGTGCCCAGAGCCAGGGTTAGGGGGGATGGGTGGGCTGCTCACAGGGGCTGTGGCACCCCAGGGACAGCTTGTCTCCAAGCCAGAGGCCCTGGGCCCTTTTGGGAAGCCCTGCGGGGAGATGCTATGAAAGGGGAAAGGAGCAGAGAGCGGGGGATGTGCACGATGGACTCCTGCCCCTGCGTGGAGCCCCTGCAGAGTGAGGCGCCATGCCTGCCCCCGGGGGCTGGCCTCACACCACGTGGGGAAAGCGCCTGGCTATATAGGTCTACCGAAAAGCTGTGGGAAGGGTCCCTTTCGCTCACCTTGCTTATCTTCCTGAAACTCTTCTCAGTTTGTCAAGAAGTCACATGTCACTCCTGAATACACCCAGCCCTTCGGAGAGATGTCACTCTGGATGTGGCAGAATAAACTTGGACATCAGGGAAGTCAGAAGGGGGCTCGAGCCTTGGCTCTGCTTAGCTGAATGACTGAGTTGCTTGGTTTCTCGGAGCTCTCAGTTTTCTACTCTGTAAAGTGGGGATATTAAAATCTGCCTTACTTTGTAGGACTATTGACAGGTCCAGATAGTACATGAAGTTTTTTCTTTTAAAGGTTTATTTATTTATTTGAGAGGTAGTGTTATAGACTGAGAGAGGGAGAGACAGAGAGAAAGGTCTTCCATCCGCTGGCTCACTCCCCAGATGGACACAATGGCTGGGGCTGAGCCCTTCTGAAGCCAGGAGCCAGGAGCTTCTTCCAGTCTCTCACGTGGGTACAGGGGCCCTTGTACTTGGGCCATCCTCTGCTGCTTTCCCACGCCATCAGCAGGGAGCTGGATCAGAAGTGGAGCAATTGGAACACAAACCAGCACCCATATGGGATGCCAGCACCACAGGCAGAGGCTTAACCTACTACTCCACAGCGCCCCCGAGAGCTTTTTAAAAATAGGCATTCCCAGAGCCAGAGTGTGGCATAGCAGGTAAAGCTGCCACCTGCGGTGTTGGCATGCCACATGGGCACCGGTTTGAGTCCCAGCTGCTCCACTTCCGATACAGCTCTCTGCTGTGGCCTGGGAAAGCAGTAGAGGATGGCCTAAGTCTTTGGGGCCCTGCACCTGCATGGAAAACCCAGAAGAGGGGCTGGTGCTGTGGCGTAGCAGGTAAAGCCACCACCTGCAGTGCCGGCATCCCCTATGGGTGCCAGTTGGAGTCCCAGCTGCTCTTCTTCCGATCCAGCTCTCTGCTATAGCCTGGGAAAGCAGTGGAAGATGGCTCAAGTGCTTGGGCCCCTGCACCCATGTGGGAGACCCAGAGGAAGCTCCTGGCTCCTGATCGGTGCAGCTCCGGCCATTGTGGCCAACTGGGGAGTGAACCAGTGGTGGAAGACCTCTCTCTCTCTCTCTCTCTCTCTCTCTCTCTCTTTCTCTGCCTCTCTGTAACTCTGCCTTTCAAATAATAAATAAATAAATCTTAGGGAAAAAAAGGGCATTCTCAACCCTGACCTGAGAATAAGGATTTTAAATTTTGCCGGAGCTTCTTAGCTTCAAGGAAGTGTGGGCCAGAGCTGCGGCTCACTAGGCTAATCCTCCACCTTGCGGCACCGGCACACCGGGTTCTAGTCCCAGTCGGGCGCCGGAGTCTGTCCCGGTTGTCCCTCTTCCAGGCCAGCTCTCTGCTGTGGCCAGGGAGTGCAGTGGAGGATGGCCCAAGTGCTTGGGCCCTGCACCCCATGGGAGACCAGGAGAAGCACCTGGCTCCTGCCTTCGGATCAGCGCGGTGCGCCGGCCGCAGCACGCCGGCCGCGGCAGCCATTGGAGGGTAAACCAATGGCAAAAAGGAAGACCTTTCTCTCTCTCTCTCTCACTGTCCACTCTGCCTGTAAAAAAAAAAAAAAAAAAAAAAAAAAAAAACTTTGAAAAAAAAAGGAAGTGTGGACCACGCCATGTACTGCACTGAGTAGGGGGAGGGGGAAACCTGCTTGAGTGAAAAGTTCAGGCAGGCGGCAGCCGGGGCGGGGCTGGAGAGCCTTCCTGTGTCCCCTGACTCCAAGATGCCTGAGTTCTAGGGCACCTCCTGTGCTATGTACTGGGAAATGGCAAAATACAGCTGCTCCAGCCACGGCCTGATGCCTTCTTATTATGCTTACTTCTGAGATGTTGGACCAGGACCAAATGTACATCGGAGAGACAATGTCCCAGAGTCTGGGACCAGACTCTGGGGGGCTTGGAAGCCAGGCGAGCAGTGCCTCAGAGTCCAGGGTGGAGAGCATGGCCAGCGGCCTGCCAGGCCACCCTGCTGGCACAGCAGATCCGCCCTGGGCCATGGAGCTCAGCTCTCCGCATCTGCCCCTAACTGCTGGGTCCCAGGGCCCGCCTGGGAGTCTCCCTACTCTGTTCTATGGAAGCCCAGTAGGAGCCGCATCTTGTGCGCCTCCAGGCTGTTAACGCACGATACAGCAGTCCAGGGTGAACGGGAGCTGGATGTAACCCCCCTTCACAGCAGCAGCGACCCCTCTTGTCCCCTCAGCCACAGGCCTGATGATTGGCTGTCTGGTCTACCCCGACGGCTGGGACTCCAGCGAGGTGCGGCGCATGTGTGGGGAACAGACGGGCAAGTACACGCTGGGCCACTGCACCATCCGCTGGGCTTTCATGCTGGCCATCCTCAGTATCGGCGACGCCCTCATCCTCTCCTTCCTGGCGTTCGTGCTGGGCTACCGGCAGGACAAGCTGCTCCCCGACGACTACAAGGCAGATGGGAAAGGTAATCCGCCCTCCTCCATGGCAGGGTCCCTGCGTGCCGACGGGCATGGGGGGAGAGCTCTCGGGCAGTCCTCTGTGTCTCAGCTCCTGGCTGAGGGCTGGGGACACTAGGACCAACCAGTTACAGCCCTGTGCTTCCTGAGGATAAAGACGGGGCGGGGGGCACTGCAGGCAGTGGATGACGGGATGCTGGGAGGCCTGTGTGTGCTCCAGGGGGTTCCGCCCAGCCCTGCTCTCTGAGAGTCTCCAGGGGTGAGAGCCCTCACCCAGCCTGGGGAGGAAGCAGGCGCTGGGGTGGGCCTTAAAGTAGAACGGGGGAGTTTGCCCAGAGGGGACAGCAGGGGTGCGTTGCTGGGGAGGGAGAGGAAGCCCAGTGCGCGCACCCTGGGAAGGTGCAGAAGTGGCAGCTCCTGGAGCGCATGGTGGGGGCTGAGCGCCCCGGTGGATGCCTGGGGGGTCCACCCTGTTTCAATTCCCTTTCATCCAAAACCCAAGCCACCAGTCAGAAAGGCCAACTCTAGCCGACCCTCCCAGCACCGCCTGCCTGCTCCCTGTGGACCCCCTTCTCCTGGGTCAAAGTGGCAAACGAATTACCAGAAAGAGCTGGGGCAAGAAATCTTGTCAACCGTGCGGCCGGGTCGCTTCTCGGAGCGTCTGCTCAGGGCTCAGGCCCTCAACGCCCTCGTGTAGCCTCTGCCTGAGCAGGAGTGACAGGAAGCTGGTTCGCAGGGGCCCCTTCTGTTTAATCCTTCCGGCTCCCTGTGAGGTCCGGTTGGAGCTGGAGGTTCCACCCCTGAATCTGTCTGGATGCCTGCATGGGACATTTTCTACCTATTTGAAGTCTTTATTTTTTCATTTTTTACTTTTTTTTTTTGAAAGAGACAGAGAACGCAAGCACTCCCATCCACTGGTGACTCCCTTAAATGTCCACAGTAGCTGGGGCTGGGCTGGGTGGAAACCGGAAGCCGGAAGCTGGAAGCAGGGAGCTGGGAAGTTCCAGGAACCCAAGTACTTGAGCCATCCCTGCTGCCTCCCAGGGTCTGCATTAACAGGCAGCTGGCGTCAGGAGCCAGAGCTGTACTTTGATGTGGGATGTGGTGTCTTAGCCACTAGGTTAAATGTCTGTCCCATCTTTACTTTATTTATTTGAAAGGCAGAATTACAGACAGAGTGGGGGAGCGGGGCTGGCACTGTGGCACAGCAGGTTAATGCCCAAGCCTGAAGTGCTGGCATCCCATATGGGCACCGGTTCTAGTCCTAGCTGCTCCACTTCCAATCCAGCTCTCTGCTATGGCCTGGAAAAGCAGTGGAAGATGGCCCAAGTCCTTGGGCCCCTGCACCCCTGTGCGAGACCTGGAAGAAGCTTCTGGCTCCTGGCTTTGGATCGGCGCAGCTCTGTCCATTGCGGCCAATTGGGGAGTGAATCATCTGATGGAAGACCTCTCTCTCTCTCTACCTCTCCTTTCTCTGTGTAACTATTTCAAATAAATAAATAAATATTTTTTAAAAAAAGAATGGGGGAGAGAGAGACAGACAGATTCTCTATCTGCTGGTTCGCCTCCTCCCTCCACCCCTCCAATGGCTACAATGGTCTGAAGTCAGAAGCCAGGAGCTTCCTCCAGGTCTCCCACATGGGTGCAGAGGTCCAAGCACTTGGGCCATCTTCCACTACTTGCTCAGGCCACAGCAGAGCTGGATTGGAAGTGGAGTAGCTGGGGCTTGAACCAGCATTGAAGGAGGCGGCCTTACCAGCTATGCCAGCCACAATGCTGGACCCCACATAAATCCTCTGTAAGATGCTTTTATATAAAGAGATGGTTTTGTTCCTTTGACATTCTCTGTATTTGTCAGTGCATTTTCCTTCTGCCTTCATCTCCCACACACTCTGTCCTGTCTTCTCTGGAAGGAAATCCTTTCTCTGTGTACTTTAGTTCCTTCCCTGTTGTATAGCGCTTGTTCTATTCTTTTTTGCTTGTGAACTTTAAGGAAACACCTACATAGCCTTTCTGCAGCCAGAAAGTTACTAAGGATGGGTTGCTTTCCTTCTCTCAAAGAAGAGAAAAGTCAGTCAGGAAAGTCAGTCAGAGTCTGACTTTCAGGAAAGTCTGGCGAGGGGACTCACACTTGTACCTGTGAGCAAGGCTCTACTCCAGTATTCATTGCTTTGAGCCACAACAGTGGAAATGACAGAGCAGGGCCAGGGTTCCCCTTTGCACACGAAAGAACCCGGAGGTAAAGTGACTTGGAAGAACACCACAGCACCAGCCCCAACTTCAGAAATTTTCTAGAAAGAAATCAAAGATGTTAACAAGTGGGAAGACATCCTATGTTCATGGATAGCAAGACTTAATATTGTTAAGAAGGTCATCACTCCCCAAACTGATCTACAGATTCTATATAAGCCCTTTCAAAATCCCAGCTGGATTTTTGGAGAAATTAACAAGATGATCCTAGAATAAAACAGAGATACAAGAGACCCAGAGGCTGGCGCCGTGGCTCACTAGGCTAATCCTCCGCCTTGCAGTGCCGGCACACCAGGTTCTAGTCCCGGTCGGGGCACCGGATTCTGTCCCGGTTGCCCCTCTTCCGGGCCAGCTCTCTGCTATGGCCAGGGAGTACAGTGGAGGATGGCTAAAGTGCTTGGGCCCTGCACCCCATGGGAGACCAGGAGAAGCACCTGGCTCCTGCCTTCAGATCAGCGCGGTGCGCCAGCTGCAGCGCACCGGCCGTGGCGGCCATTGGAGGGTGACCCAATGGCAAAGGAAGACCTTTCTCTCTGTCTCTCACTGTCCACTCTGCCTGTCGGGTGAATAACATCAGGATTAAACAGTTATGAGAGAGAGAGAGACCCAGAAGAGTTCAAACAATCTTGAAAAGCAAAGTTGGAGGACTCACATATTTTCAGTTTCAAAACTTACTACATAGCTACAGTATTGAAGATAATATGTTGCCAGCATCAAGATAGACATCCAGCTCAGTGCAATAGAACTGAGAGTCCAGAAATCAACTCAAACAATTGTGGCCAATTGATTTTCTTTCCTTTTTTATTTATTTGAGAGGCATAGAGAGAGAAAGAGAAAGAGAGAAAGAGAGAAAGAGAAAAAGAGAGAAAGAGAGAGAGAGAGAGAGAGAGAGAGAGAGAGAGAGAGAGAAAGTCTTCTATCCACTGGTTCACTCCACAGGTGGCTGCAACATCTCAGCTGGAGCTGAGCCCATCTGAGGCCAGGAGCCAAGAGCTTCTTCCAGGTCTCTCACATGGGAGCAGGGGCCCAAGGACTTGGGCCATCCTCCACTGCTTTCGCAGGCCATCGCAGAGAGCTGGATCAGAAGTGGAGCAGCCATAACTCAAAGCGGCACTCATATGGGATGCTGGCACTGCAGGCAAAGGCTTTACCTGCCATGCCACAGTGCCAGCCCCCCCAATTGATTTTCAAAAAGGGTACCAAGTTTGTTCAATGAGGTAAGAGTAGTCTTTTCAATAACCAGATTGTACAAGCAGAAGAATGTAGTTGGGGGTGCTGGCACTGTGGCATAGCAGGTAAAGCTGCCACCTGCAATGCTTATTTCTCATATGGGCATCAGTTCCAGACCTGGCTGTTCCACTTCTGATCCAGCTCCTGCTAATGTGCCTGGGAAAGCAGTGCACCCTAAAGCCCCTGCACCCATGTGGGAGACCCGAAAGAAGCTCCACATTCCTGGCACAGCCCCATATGTTGCAGCCATTTAGGGAGTGAAACAGTGGATAGAAGGTACCTCTCTCTCTGTCTCTGTTTCTCCCTCTCTCTCTGTAACTCTGCTTTCCAAAAAAAAAAAAAATCTTAAGAAAAAAAGAATGAAATTGGACCCTTAACCAAACCACATATAAAAATTAACTCAAAATTGATCAAAGACCTAAATATAAGATGTGATACTATAAAAATCTTTGAAAGAAACAGCTGTATAAATATTCATGAACTTGAATTGGGAAATTTTTTTAATTTATTTATTTGAAAGGCAGAGTTACAGAGAGGCAGAGGCAGAGAGAGAGAGAGAGAGAGAGAGAGAGAGAGAGAGGTCTTCCATCTGCTGGTTCACTCCCCAAATGGCCACAATGGCCAGAGCTGGGCCAATCTGAAGCCAGGAGCCAGGAAATTCTTCTGGGTCTCCCACACTGGTGCAGGGTCCCAAGGACTTGGGCCATCTTCCACTGACTTCTCAGGCCATAGCAGAGAGCTGGATCAGAAGTGGAGCAGCCAGGACTCAAACCAGTGCCCATATGGGATGCCAGCACTGTAGGTGGTGGCTTTACCTGCTAAGCCACAGCACTGGCCCAGGCAATGTCTTCTTAGATATGACACCTACTGCACAACCAAAGGAAAAATATAGATAAACTGAATTTCATCAAAATTTTAAAAATTGTGTTACAAAAAACACCAAAAAGAAAGTGAAAAGAGAATTGTATGTATGGAATACATGAAATCTATTCTCTTTATAGTAATAAAAATTTTTTAGAAAATAACTCAGGTTAGGAAAATTTGCAAATAGTAATCTGATAAGGTACTAGTACTCAGAAAATACTAAGAACTACGGCTCAGGGGGCGGGTGTTGTGGTGCAGCAGGGGAAGCTGCCACTTGGGGTGCCTGCACCCCACCCATATCAGAGTGCCTGGTTCAAGTCCTGGCTGCCCTGCTTCAGTCCAGCTTCCTCCTAAGGTGGTTCCTGGGGGGCAGCAGTGATGGCTGAAGTCCTTGAGACCCTGCCACACACATGGGAGACCCAGAGGGAGTTCCAGCTTTTGTCCTCCACCTGGGCCAGCCCTGGCTCTTGTGGGCATTTGGAAAGTGAACCAGTGTGTGGAAGATCTCTCTCTCTCTAGCTCTCTTTCACCCTCTGTCTTTTCAGTGAGATGAAAATAAGTAATTTTATAAAAGAACTACACCTTTACCATAAAGATAAATACTCCAATTTTAAAAACAGGCAAACGATTGGAATTGACATTTCTCCAAAGAAGATATAAAGGCCCAAATAGCACATGAAAGAATGTTCAATAGCATTCATCATTAGGAAGAAGCCGATCGAGTCCACATTGAGCTACAACTTCACACCCACCAGGCTGACTGGAATGAAACGGTGAACAATAAATAACAAGTGCTTGTGAGCATCTGGAGAAACAAACGTTAAAGAAAAGCAGCCCTGGAGTCCCTCAGAGAGCTAATCATAGAGATATTATGTGACCCAGTACTTCCATTCCACTGCACAAAAACTGCTACACCAATGGCCACAGCAACATAACAGCCAAAAAAGGGAAAGCAATGGCAAGGCGATCATCTGCCCAATGGGTACACGACATGTGTGCAGAGATAGCACAGAAGTTCCTCATCTATTTTTTTTTTAAAGATTTATTTATTTATTTATTTGAAAGTCAGAGTTACACACAGGGAGAAGGAGAGGCAGAGAGAGAGAGAGAGGTCTTCCATCTGCTGGTTCACTCCCCAATTGGTCACAACAGTCGGAGCTGTGCTGATCCGAAGCCAGGAGCTTCTTCCAGGTCTCCCACGTGGGTGCAGGGGCCCAAGGGCTTGGGCCATCTTCTACTGCTTTCCCAGGCCATAGCAGAGAGCTGGATTGGAAGTAGAGCAGCTGGGACTCGAACCAGCGCCAGTGTGGGATGCTGGCACTGTAGGTGGTGGCTTTACCTGCTATGCCACAGCACCGGCCCAAGTTCCTCATCTTTTAGTTCTGTTTGTGATCTTTGTGAAGAACCTTCGTGTATCCACTCGATGAAGAATATTTATTCCTAAGCAGTAAAGAGGAATGAAATGCTGACAATTTCCTACAATGTAGATGAGCCTTGAAAACAAGGTAAAGAAGCCAGACACAAGGCACTGGTTTCCATTTGTGTGCCTTGGGTTCCGCTTACTTAAAATGTCCAGGACAGACCAGGACATGGAGCCGGAGGGCGGATCACTCAGGAGTTCCCGGCTGGGAAGAGGGCGCAGTTGAGGGGACCGCTGATGGGCACAGGGTTGCTTTTGTGTATGTGTGGGAGGGATGAAGATGTTTCAGAAGCGCACAGTAGTACATCTGCTGGAAACTGTGGAGTGGCACACTTTCAATGGGTAAATGTGGTGTTAGGGAAGTAGATTTATGTGAAGAAAACATGAAAGACTGTGTTGGGAACTTGGTAGTGTGTATAATGCATTGCTAACGCGTGCACGCCCCGAGTGAGTAACAGGTGCTTCTGGGCAGGCGGCCGCTCCACCCCCTGCCCCGGGGCAAGTGCCCACAGCACTGGCAGCACAACTTGGGGTGAAGATGGCCCCTTTGGAGCAGTCACGCCGCACAGGATTTCAAGCTGATAAAAGGAAGACGTGCAAGGAATGTGATGGCGCTGGGGGATGGGCAGGCTTGGTTATAAACACACACGTGTCCCTCTTTCCTTACAGAGGAAGTGTGAAGCCGCTGGAGCCGGGGGCGGTGAGTGATCCCACTGCCCCACTGCGGGGTGGGCTGCGCGCCTGTGGGAGGCCGGGCTGGCCCCTCCCTGAGGGACCCTGCCAGGTGTGGGGTGGGGGGCCTGTCTCCTGGGGCTGGGCTGCAGGGGACAGCATCTCCGGGAGCCAGGAGTTCTGTGACCTCTGGATGCAGCTCCTGAGCCTGGAGTTGTGGAGGGCAGTAGGAGGGAGCAAGTAACAGACAACGGGGCAGGGAGTTGGGTGTCGGAAGCTCATCTTCTGGTGGGCCCTGTGCAAATGGGACGGCACCGTCTGTGGGTGGCAGCGTTGTCATCTGGACCCTGGTGCTCAGAAAGAATGTTAAGTGATTTGCAAGAAACATACCAGAAACCCCGATAAAGCAGCCGATAAACGTGCTAGAGAGGAAAACAGTCAACAAAGGCAGGCTAGGATAACTGTGCTGGGCGGGAGGTTTCAGCCCTGCGTCCCGGGTCGCAGGGTGGGGGCAGGAAGGAGAGCGGTGTGTCCAGGGTTAACGTCCGGTTCCGCAGAAAGCACATCGTGTTCATTTCTTTATTATCCCTAAGTTGCTGAAAAGTGGTTTAACAGGAATGATAAGGAATACATTAAAAAGAAAAGAGCCCCCCCCCCCCCCAGCATCCCTTCCCTGGGACTGGCACTCTGCAAGGGGGAGGGGTGTGTTAGCTCCATTCCAACCATTTTTTTTTTCTTTTTGACAGATAGAGATAGACAGTGAGAGAGAGAGACAGAGAGAAAGGTCTTCCTTCCGTTGGTTCACCTCCCAAATGACTGCTAGAGCCGGCGCTGCACTGATCCAAAGCCAGGAGCCAGGTGTTTCTTCCTGGTCTCCCATGCGGGTGCAGGGCTCAAGCACTCGGGCCATCCTCCACTGCCCTCCCAGAGAGCTGGACTGGAAGAGGAGCAACTGGGACTAGAACCCAGCGCCCATGTGGGATGCCGGCGCCGCAGGCGGAGGATTAACCCAGTGAGCCATGGCGCCGGCCCAACACCCCACGTTTATTGGAGCTGACTCCCAGGTTCCCGTGTGCAGGCATCTGGGCGTCTTGTCAAAGGCGGATTCTGATTCAGTCACTAGAGTGCTTTCCCGGGCGCTGCGCTTCTAACCAGCTCCCAGGAGCAAAGGGAAAAACTGAGCAGCAAAGGGAAAAACCTTCCCCCTCAAGCTTCTGCAGTGCTCCTTGTGAATATTTTTCTAAAAAATAATTATTTGAGAGGCAGAGAGAGTGAGGTCTGTCTATTGGTTCCCTCTCCAAATGCTTGCAACCTCTATGCTTGGCTCTAGATGAAGTCAGGAGCCCAGGCATTCAGTTCAGGCCTTCCATGGGGTGGCAGGGAGCCAACCACTTGAGCCATGGCCTGCTGCCCCCTGGTCTGCATGAGCAGGAAGCTGGAGCCAGGTATGGAACTCTGATGGGAATGAGGGCATCATAACCCCTAGGCAAATGTCTGTCTCTACTAAAGTTTCGTAAATCCACAAGTTCCATAGCCCTGGTATATTCTCAGCCCCTGAGCAAGCCCTTGGCTATTTGATGTTTAGGATTGTTGTCGTGGACGGTAACTTTTCCACTCAGAAGTGGAACTGCTGAATTAGAGGGCAACCACATCTCCGTGGCTGCCTTTTGTTTTTCCTCGCTGTGTTTTAGGAGACGCAGGTGTGAATACTCTTGCACATGAATGGGGAAATTTCCATATCTTGGTAGAATGTGAGCATATATGGCTTTTTCTGTTAAACATTATTATTGGCTTTTTTTTTAATTTATTTATTTATTTGACAGGTAGAGTTACAGACAGTGATAGAGAGGACAGAGGGAAAGGTTTTTCATCCGTTGTTCACTCCCCAAATGGCCGCAATGGCAAATGGCAATAGTTCGAGTCCTCACACCTCAAGTTTTGTTTTTTTAATATTTTAAAAATTTATTTGAAAGGCAGAGTTACAGAGAGGCAGAGGCAGAGAGAGGGAGAGAGAAAGGGAGAGAGAGAGAGAGATAGTAAGAGTGTCTTCCATCTGCTGGTTCACTCCCCAAATGACCTCAATGGCTGGAGCTACCATGATCTGAAGCCAGGAGCCAGGAGCTTATTCTGGGTCTTCCCATGTAGTTGCAGGGCCCCCAAGTACTTAGGCCATCTTCCACTGCTGTCCCAGGCCATAGCAGAGAGCTGGAGCAGAAGCGGAGCAGCTAGGACCTGAATTGGCACCCATATGGGATGCTGGCTCTGAGGCATCGGCTTTACCCACCACACCACAATACCAGCCCCGACACCTCCACTTCTGATCCAGCTCCCTGCTAATGCTCCTGGGAGCGGTAGATGATGGCCCAAGTACTTGGACCCCTGCCACTCACATGGGAGACCTCGATGGAGTTCCTGGCCTCTGGGTTCATTACGGCCTAGCCATGGCTGTGGCAGGCACTTGGGGGTGTGAATCAGTGGATGAAAGATTCTCTCTCTCTGCCTTTCAAATAAATGACTAAATCTGTTTTTTAAACGTCAAATTTTATAATCTTGCCATCTGTTGTTTTCTCTTAAACCACAGGTCTCCCATGTTTCGGACAATGGAAAATTCGGGAATGTAGCTCATCAGTCAGCAGCTTCCTTCCAAACCTCCTCTTCATTGCGGTCGGCAGCTCGGCCTGACGTGTGAAGTCTTTCATTCCGGGCTTCGAGCGTGCGGGATCCCAGGACCCTTCCCGGGGGCAGCAGTCTCTCCTAGCCCCTCACCCAGCAAGTCGCTTCATCCTCGGGTGGCCCGTCCTCTCTACAGAGAGGGTTGGATGGGGGCCTTCCCGAGGGCCTGGCCAGGGCGGCACCCCTGACAGCTTGCGCAAGTCTTTGAGGGCTGCCGTGGACAGAGGCGGTGAGGATTAAGGAGCGCCAATGCTTCTCCCTTCTCATACTGTTTTCTCACTGTTGCTCAGAGAGGGGGAAGGAGTGGAGAGGCTACTGGAATCTGAACCCTTGCACGCATCTGGGAGGCTAACAAAGCCCGGGTGAACGTGGGGTCTGCCGCCTCTTGCGGGGTGGGCGTTTGGCTCCGTGGGTAAGAAGCATCCGTGGGTGTGACGCTTGGGACACCAGCATCACATACGGGAGCGCCTGGGTTCAAGTCCTGGCTCTGCTTCTGATTCCAGCTTCCTGCCACTGCACTCCCTGGGGGGCAGCAGGTGCTGGCTCACGTACTTGGGTCCCCGTCGTCCTCATGTGACACCCAGATCGAGTTCTTGGCTCCAGGTTTTAGCCTGGCCCAGGCCCGCTGCTGCGGGCTTCTGGGGGAATGAACCAGCAGATGGCAGATGTCTGTGCATCTGCTTCTGTCTCTCTGCCTTTGAAGTAAATAAATACTTTTAACAAACTCTAAAAGGGGCTGGCGCTGTGGTGTAGCCGGTAAAGCCGCTGCCTGCAGTGCCGGCATCCTATGTGGGCACCGGTTCGAGACCCGGCTGCTCCACTTCCGATCCAGCTCTCTGCTGTGGCCTGGGAAAGCAGTGGAGGATGGCCCAAGTCCTTGGGGCCCTGCACCCACATGGGAGACCCGGAGGGAGTTCCTGGCTTCGGATCGGCACAGCTACGGCCGTTGCGGCCAACTGGGGAGCAAACCAGCAGACAGATCTCTCCCTCTCCCTTTCTCTCTGCCTCTCCTTCTCTTTCTGTGTAACTCTGACTTTCAAATAAATAAATCTTAAAAAAAAAAAAACAAAAAACAAAAAAAAAAACCTCTAACAAAACTCTCAAGACTAATTTGACTTTTCTCCCTGGGAACCCAGAATCACAATTCCTTGTCATATCCAGGGACTTAACCAGCATTGGCTCCCAGCTTCCAAATCTTGTGACTTACGGCTGAGTAATTCGTGATAGGAATAGATGACCTTTCTTGTCGCGAACTTTTTGGATAATGCATATTCAATGGTGAGTACTTCAATGGGCAGCCTCAGTTTAGGTAGCAAATGCCAAGACAATGACAGGGATCTCAGGCGATCCCCTACCTGGGAGATGGCAGCTGGAGACAGGCCTTTGTTGGTGATCTCTGAGAAACAAGATCCAGCCATTGTGTGTGTCCAGCTACAGTTGGTAAAGGACAAAACCGTAATGAATTCTGCTGCTTGCTCCAGCCACGATCAGTGTGACGTGGAAGTTCTCTTATCCTTGCTGGTGGGCTTTATTTAACCACTGCACCCCACAACCTGCCAGTCACCGTGCTGTTTAATCTTCAGATAGGCCAGGAATGTGCTTCAGAATCGTCCCAGTTGAATTGTTGGCAAAGGAAACTATTATAATGGGATTTAACTTTGACACTTGGTTCATAGCATCTTTTTATTTTTCCCCCTGAAGATCTATTTATTTATTTGAAAGGCAGAGAGAGGGGCTGGCACTGTGGCATGGTGGGCAAAGCTGCTGCCTTCGGCACTGGCATCCCATGTGGGTACTGGTTCGAGTCCTGGCTGCTCTACTTCCAATCCAGCTTCCTGCTAATGTGCCTGGGAAGGCAGCAGAACCTGGAAGAAGCTCCTGCCTCCTGGCTGTGATCTGGCCCAGCCCTGGCCATGTGGTCATTTGGGGATTTTGAACCAGAGGATGGATCAAATAAAAAAAGAAAGGGGGAGAGAGTGAGAGAGAAAGCAAGGAATCTTCCATCTGCTGGTTTACTCCCTAAATGGCTGCAACAGCTGGGGCAGGGCCAGGCTGAAGACAGGAGCTCCATCCAGGTCTCCCATGTGGGTGGCAAGGACCCACATACTTGAGCTGCTGTCCATTGCTTCCAAGGTACATTAGCAGGGAGCTCCCCTTGAGTTATTTCGCCCAAGTAGAAACTCTAGTAGTCTTCAGAAACTACTGGAGTTCAGGTGCCTCTACCTGAACTCAGGTGCCCGCACCTGCTCTTGCTGGGACCCGTGAGTTTGAGCAAAGCTGCAGATGTCTTGATCAGTGACCAGAACTGGAGAAGGCCTTGCCAATCTGTGAGCCCTGCGACCCGGATTTCATAGCTTGCGTTGTCTTCAGGGAAAACAAGAATTCAGCCTAGTAGTAACCATGACTACTGTTCAGACACCTACTAATTAACCACTCCTTCCAAGAGGCTTCCCTTTTTATTCTTAAAGGAGACATCCAACCTCCTTCATCTTTGAAAGTTTAAAGAGTAAAATGAGGCCTCTTACCAAGTTGCTTGTTTCTGGCTAGCCCTGCCTTTGGCTAGGGGCAGAGAGATGATTTCGGCGTCCTTGCTTTCTCCACAATGACTAGCCCTGAGCAAGGAAGCTTGAGGGAGGAAGGACCAGACATGGATAGCCGTGAACTTGCGTATCTTAAATGCTTTCATTGACTTACGACCCGTTATTACTGCTACACAAGCTTCTCTAGACCTTAGTGACTTAAAACCCCATGTTATTTCTCTGTGTCTGAGGGCTAGGAGTCCTGGCCAAGTTCAACTAAGTGTCTCTGCCTCACGGTTTCTCACAGGCAGCAATTATGTTGGATCCAGTTCCAAGCTCTGTGGTTGTTTCTTGTAGGTCCTTGGAGCATAGCGTTGCAGGGTTCTTGCTATCGGCCTCTCCACAGGGCAACTCAGGCGGCACCAATGCTTTGCTCGACAGGAGCTCCCAAAGAGAGCGAGACAGCAAGAGACGGTGCACAAAGCCACAGCCCTTTGTAATGCAGCCCCAGAAGTGACATCACCATCACTTTCACCCTAGGGTTAGAACACACAGTCCACACGCAAGACCCTTGATCACAAAAATGCCTGCACACCAGGAGGCAGCACTCACCGGGCCCTTCTAAAAGTTGCTTCTCATGGTTATTCAGCTAATATTCTGCTGCAACAGGCATTTATTGGAAGGCTTCATGGGGACGAAGACTGGATTCTGGTCACCTTACATGCTGATGGACACATTGGGTTCATAAGAGGTTGATGAAGACGACAGAAGAGCTCCAACCCTGAAAATTTCTCTCACCTGACCTCTAAGCGATTTCTAACACCGCCCGCTCTCCTCTACACCTAGTAGACCCGAACAATGTCTTAGCGGAACAATATGAATACAGTTCAAACTGTGGGCAGCTCAAGCACTTTTGTGAACAATCCAGGTATGCTATTTGGAGGGCAAGGTTGTTTAAATGGATAAAAACTAGAACTGAACCAAGGACAGAAAGAAGACATTAAGCTAAAATTGGCTTGAAATCAAATAGATATCAGTTAGAAACCCTCCTCCCTTGACATGCATGGTATAGTCCCTAACCAGAGTAAGATAAAGGTAAACTTAAGGCTGTGGCTAAAATGTCTTCTTTTCTCATTTTGAAAGGGGGAGAAATCTACCATCTGCTGGGAGATGTCTCCAACAGCTGGGCCAAGTCAAAACTCAATCCAGGTGTCCCATATAGGTATCAGGGACCTAAGTACTTGAGCCATTACCTGCTGCCTCTCAGAGTGAGCACTGGCAAGAGACTGAAATTGGAAGTGGAGCTGGGACTCATACCCCAGGCACTCCATATGGGATGCAGGAGTCCCATGTGCTGGCTTAACTGCTAGACCAAAAGCCCATATCCCACCTTGGTTAAGATTTCTAAACACAGGGTTGGGGCTGTGGTGCAGCAGACTAAACCATGGCTTGCTGCGTTGGCATCCTATATGGGTGGCAATTGAAGTTCTGGCTGTTCCACTTCTGATCCAGCTCTCTGCTAGTGTGCCTGGGAAAGCAACAAAGATATCCCTAGTGCTTGGGCCCCTGCACCCATGTGGGAGACCTGGAAGAAGCTCCTGGCTCCAGCCTGGCCCAGCCCCAGTCGTTGTGGCCATTTGGAGTGAACCAGTGGATGGAAGATCTATGTGTCTCCCCTTCTCTCTGCCTTTCAAATAAATAAATCTTTAAAAAAAAATCCATAAACACATAACACACATTTTTCTGGCTTTTTAACTGGACTATTTTTCTGGTCTCACGAGAACCTGGTTTATGGGCTGGCACTATTGCAGTGGGTAAAGCCACCACCTGTGACACCAGAATCCCATATGGATGCTGGTTCATGTCTTGGCTGCTCTCCTTCTGCTCCAGCTCCCTAATGGCCCTGGGAAAAGCAGCAGATGGCTCAAGTGCTTGGGCCTCTGCTACCCGCACGGGAGACCAGAAGCAGCTCCTGGCTTCAGTGGCCTGGCTCAGCAGTGGTCGTTGTGGCCACGTGGGGAGGGAATTAGCAGATGAATAATCTGTCTCTCCCTCTCCCTGTAGCTCTTTCATACACACATACATATGTGATTTAGTGCCCCCATAAGGGCAAAATACATGTAGTTTTTAAACTTTTTTTTTTTGACAGGCAGAGTTAGAGACAGATAGAAAGGTCTTCCTTCCGTTGGTTCACCCCCCCAAATGGCTGCTACGGCCGACATGCTGTGCTGATCTGAAGCCAGGAGCCAGGTGCTTCCTCCTGGTCTCCCATGCGGGTGCAGGGCCCAAGCACTTGGGCCATCCTCCACTGCCTTCCCGGGCCACAGCAGAGAGCTGGACTGGAAGCAGAGCAACCGGGACAGAATCCAGCGCCCCAACCAGGACTAGAACCTGGATGCTGGCCCAGCAGGTGGAGGATTAGCCTAGTGAGCTGCGGCGCCGGCCTTGTGATACAAAAGCAAATGTCCCTGTTAATGCAGTTCAAGGTTTGTCCTGACTAAAAAATTTTGAAGGGCTTTGGGGCCAGCGCCGTGTTCTAGTCCCAGTTGCTCCTCTTCTAATCCAGCTCTCTTCTGTGGCCCAGGAGGGCAGTGGAGAGTGGCCCAAGTGCTTGGGCCCTGCACTGGCACGGGAGACCAGGAGGAAGCACCTGGCTCCTGGCTTCGGATAGGCACAGCACCGGCTGTAGCAGCCATTTGGGGAGTGAACCAATGGAAGATCTTTCTCTCTGTCTTATAACTCTGTCATAAACAATTTTTTTTTTGAAGGGCTTTAAATTACCAGGGCTCTGCCAGCTCGCAAGGCGTTTGCTAAGGCTTCTCTGGTGTCATTAAGGCCTTATTTTTCAATGTAAATCTAGATCCTATTATCAGTAAAGTCACCCATCTGGCATTTTCCTCCTAAGGTTGAACTGGAAAATCCTAGAGGATCCAAAAGTAGAAGAGCAGACAACACTGATGTCCATTTATAACTTGTGACTCCTTCCGGGAAGCTGCGAACAACTTGCTGGGTCTTTCGAGGTAGCTGCAAGGTCTTCTACAACAGCACTCAGGCCTCCCAAGACCCTGGGAAGTCTGCGTCTACAGCTTTCACATCAATCTGAGAGACTGCATAGGCTGGTGTGGGAAACAAATCGGTTTAATGAATCCCAATGGGTTACATTCTGGTCAACAGTATGAACACACTACATGTCTGAAGTATTGCATACTTAAAACAAATCACATAGAACAGGGGTAGAGAGGGAAGAACTTGGTAACATTAAAAAAACTGTCACAAGGGACTAGTGCTGTGGTGCAGCAGGTTGAAGCCCTGGCCTGAAGCACCAGCATCCCATGTGGGTACTGGTTCTAGTCCCGGCTGTTCCTCTTCTGATCCAGCTCTCTGCTGTGGCCTGGGATAGCAGTGGAAGATGGCCCAAGTGCTTGGGCCCCTGCACCCACATGGAAGACCCAGAGGAAGCTCCTGGCTTCGGACTGGCGCAGCTCTGGCCGTTGCGGCCATCTGGGGGAGTGAACCAGCGGATGGAGGACCTCTCTGTCTCTACCTCTGTCACTCTTTCAAATAAATAAAATAAATTTTTTAACTGTCAAATAAAAGTGAAATGTCAATAAAAAACCTGACAGGGACAGATGTTGAGAAGTAGCTGCTTGGGACTCTTGCATCTCATATCAGAGTGCCTGGTGAGGGTCCTGGCCACCCCACTCACCATCCAGCCTCTTGCTCACAGGTACCCTGGGAGATGCCAGGTGATGGCCCAAGTACTTGGGTCCTTGCTACTCCTGTGGGAGACCTGGATGGAGCTCCTGGCTTTGGCCTGGCCCAGCCCTGGCTGTGGCAGGCATTTGGGAAATGAACCAGCAGCCAGATCTTTGTCTTTCAAGTAGAGATAACAAAAAAATTTTAAAAAACTGGACAAGTACATGAAGCAAAATTGATCACTTTTAATGTTAAGTCCTGAGCAAATCATCAAAATAGGGGAGCATTCCAAAAGAAAGCTGGGTAATTTAGACAAATAAAAAGTACAAATGGCCAGTAAAACCCTGAGACAAATATTTTACCTCACTAGGGATCCAGTAGGCAAATTAAAACAAGATTCTCCTTTTTGGGAGACAAACTATCTTTCATTTTATATTTTATTTTTTTGACAGGCAGAGTGGACAGTGAGAGACAGACAGAAAGGTCTTCCTTTGCCATTGGTTCACCCTCCAATGGCTGCTGCGGCCGGCGCATCGAACTGATCCAAAGGCAGGAGCCAGGTGCTTCTCCTGGTCTCCCCTGGGGTGCAGGGCCCAAGTACTTGGGCCATCCTGCACTGCACTCCCGGGCCACAGCAGAGAGCTGGCCTGGAAGAGGGGCAACCGGGACAGAATCCGGCGCCCCCAACTGGGACTAGAACCCAGTGTGCCGGCGCTGCAGGCGGAGGATTAGCCTATTGAGTTGTAGCCCCGGCCAGGAGGCAAACTATCAAAAATAAAATGAGAGTACAACTGGTCCATTAAAACTGTTGGTGCATAGGAATATAGTCTGTTAGACATGTTAAGTTAGGCAGTATTTACTAAAAGCCTTAAAAATGTGCTGCCTCTTTGGTCCAGATATGTCATTTCTAAGAATTTATCCTCAGGATGAATCAGACTAGTGTAGGAAAGTGTTCATCATGTCAGGCCTCAGGAAGGGTTTACAGTTCCGTCTCCTGCATTCTGTACATGCTGCATGTTAATTCGAAAGGAACAAAATCCTGCAATGTTATGCGAACATGCTAGAGGAAATAACAACTTCCCAAGGTATACTTTGCTAATTCCACCCCACCCATAATTTATATTTTTATTATTTTTTTTAAAGATTTATTTGAAAGGCAGAGTTATGGAGAGAGGAAACACACACACACACACACACACATACTTACAGAGAAAGGTATTCCATCCACTGGTTCACTCCCCACACTCCCCAAATGGCCGCAACAGCTTGAGCTGAGCCAGGCTTAAGCCAGGAGCCAGAACTTCATATGGGTCTGTCGTGTGGGTGCCAGGGCCCAAGGATCTGGGCCATTCTCTGCTGCTTTCCCAAGCACATCAGCAGGAAGCTGGATCCGAAGTCGAGCAGCTTGGACTCGAATTGACACCCACATGGGATGCTGGCACTGCAGACGGCATTTTGACCTGATGTGCCACAGCGTCAGCTCCAGCCCTATCCATAATTTAAAGATAGAAGTAAAAACTCTAAACCCCACAAACTGTGAGTGTTTAAATTGCAGTCTCACTGCATATTCAAGTTCAAAAAGCATTCTCAACCATTCCTTTCCTCCATTTGGGTCAGACTAACCTGAGCAACAGATGAACAGAAATGTTCTAGAAACATGTAGGTTATTAAATGATTTGTTTATTGTACTGCATTTATAAAGAAAACAGACAATGCACTCAGTAGAAAGAATAAAAATGTATTCAGGGTTTTATTTTTAACAGCAAATAGAAATCCTTTAGTAAGATCTTGGCAACTTGACAGCATGTGGTTAAGCTCAGTACAGGTACACGGGGTACTCAGGAGATCAAGTTCTACAGCTGCCTCTTTCTGAATCTTCTAATTCACTTGGCTGCTTAAATGACAGGAGAAAAAAGCCCTTATTTCCAAAATGAAGCTATAGGTTTTCTCTCCTATTAGAGTTTCCTGTCAATTGTTAAAATGAGGCCTTCAGTCTGTTTATGTGTTATTATCTCACCTTTATAGCCTCACCAGAATTCCTGTTGTCCACAACTGTGACTTTACAATGTAGAAAAGAATTCAGTGCTAGTCTGCTATTGCTCTAGATGTAAATATAGCTGAACACCCAAAGTGGATTGGGATTGCTGAAGGATTTCCCTGCCGTTGTTTGATGTAATCTACTCTCTTTATTCTTGATTGGTGCATACAGTCTGACTTAAATTCTTTCTACAGGAACATATCTGATTTCAGGAGTATCCAGTCAAGGATCCAACACATGGCTGACCAGTTACTTGCAGTAATGTTTTTGAGTTAAGTGGATGGCACAATGCCACCACTTTTTCCTGGTAGATAATGTCAGAAACGATCCCAGGCTCTCACACGGAAAGATGGCTATCCAATTTTCTCCCTGGTAGCTTGCTGGCAGAGCTTCAAGTTGCACCCCCTTGGCTTTCCGGAAATTAGTCCAATAGCCGCTTCCAGAGGATGCTGTAATCCAAGGCCCATTTGGTCCGTGCTGAGTAAGCGGCTGTGACCCCAGTTTTGCCCCCTCTTTTGCTTCTCATATTACTTGAGGAATATGTAACGTCTAGGGCAAGTCTAGGAGAAGCCAACCCTAAAATCAAATTCTAAAAGCCTCTTCTCATTAAAAAAAAAAAAAAAAAAAAAAAGGCCTGAAGTACATCTTAATTATCTCAAAATTGTGGTTACAAACTTACATTATACAAAGAAATAGCAGCAGAGAATGGCTAACCTTAAAAACTAAGAGGAAGAAAAGCCAACAAAAGTGCCATCCTACCCCTCCCCCATGGTTCTTTTAAACTGGTTTTCATTAAAGACCTCATGCCGCTGAGAAAAGGAGAAAGGCAGAGCCACAGAGAGAAACTGCTTCAAGGCCAGAATCTCAGGCAAGGCAAAGAAAGAAAAAGCTGTTTGGGAACAAACCAAATAAAACAAAAACCAAAAACAAGCACAGGACTGTGTGGGAAAGATCTGAGACCAGATCTCCTTTCCAGAGTCATCCTGATTCTTTAGTTGTAGGGCATTAAACTCAAGGGCACTGAGTAAAGTTAGCCAGAGATGATTAAAAAAAAAAAAAAAAGAAAAGAAACAAAGTAGCCAATCAAAACCAACTCTGCTCTTAGGGTAGCAGACGACACATAGGAGAGGACTGTTTGCAGAACACCTGAGGGCCTAAGAAATTACTAGTCAATGGTTCCGTTTCATTTATATTAAAAATCAGACTGAAGATTCAAAGATCTTAGTTATTAAAGGATGAAAGGAATCTGACAGTGCTTTGAACAGTGATACAATGGTACCTAAATTCAATGTTTACATAGCTCATTCAAAAGGAAGTGGAGTTGGAACTTGGAAGTTGCAGGAAAAAATGTGAACGTGGGGAACAACAGAACAATCCAGGAAGACCATGCAGCCTGGATCCAGCAAGTTTAATGTCTCTGCTATACAGAGCGCACACCCTTCCCCTCCTTGTCGCTATGCTGGCAATAGGATGTGTGCTAGGAAATGTGACTCTAGAGTCAGAGAATAAAGGGTGGGCTCACACATCTTCATGGCCCTTTGAAAAAATGCTTATTCCTAGAGGAGGTGAGGGTACAGGGCGAGAGGTTGTTTCACATTTCAGTCCGTTAGTCTTTGGCAGAGCCCAACCAAGGCCAAATTCACCTAGGATGCCCAACGGGTATGGGGACCTCCACAGGGTCAACTAAGCAAACCCAAATGAACATGTGGATTAAAAAAAAAAAAATCTAGAATCCCCTGAAGAGCTTCACCCTGAGAAGGGAAGCGAGAGATGCCTGGAGGGAGGGGCGGGGGCAGTGCGGTGATGGCTGCTGCAGTGCTGGCCAGGGCTTAGGAGTTGAGCCACGGATGCCGCAGACACTCCGCGGCGGTGGCTCTCTTCTCGGGGATCAGCTCCAGCATGGGCAGTAAGAAATCCGTGAAGCCAGCTGCCTCCTCCTGAGACCACTCATACTTCTCCACCAGAACCTCAAAAAGGCCCCAGGGCTTCAGCTTCGTGATGTGTTTCAGGTCACCTGTGGTGAAGACAGTACAAAAGAAACTGACCAACACTGACAAGTGCCAAGATTCTCTATGGAAACCCAGGAACTAACTTGGGTAGTGTACAAAGAATCAAATTAATCTTCTACTCACAAAGTATTTGTCTAAAGCATTCTGTAAGATCCTAACAGTTTAAGATAATTTATTTTCTCCCCCATTCCAGCATTATTTTTGGTTTCAAACTGGGTATGCATGACTAGGAAGTAGGTTTTCCCTAAAATAAAGATTAAATGTTACATACTCAACATGGTCTCACATGGTCCCCCAAAGGCAGTCTATCCACATACATCAAGAACAATTTGTACCTTTTGCTCAACAATCCAGCAAAAAGTTCACATCAGGTAAAAAATGTACAAAAGCAGCAAAAGAACAAATTCAGTATAGACTGAAGGTAGAGTAGCACATACTCTGGAACCGCTGTTTCTTTGAAGTGGTAATTTAAGATAGTCAATTATTAATGGCTCACTAAGGAAAATGTTGAATTTTTTCACATATGGCACATATTTGAAATCTCTGTGTGCAATGAGTGCCTATGTAATCACCTACTTGGTACACGTGCATATCTTAACTGACTTTGAGCAACATGGAAGAGCTCTTATGAGACAACTTCACCATCTTCTTGCCTGATAAGAGGCTTAAGAAGGCGCTGTGGCATAGTGGGTAAAGCTGCTGCCTGCAGTGCCAACATCCCATATGGGCACCGGTTCAAGTCCCAGCTGCTCCACTTCTGATCCAGCTCTCTGCTATGGCCTGGGAAAGCAGTGGAAGATGCCCCAAGTCCTTGGGCCCCTGTACCCGCATGGGAAAACCCAGAGAAAGCTCCTTGCTCCTGGCTTTGGATGGGCACAGCACCAGCTGTTGTGGCCAAATGGGGAGTGAACCAGCAGATGGAAGCTCGCTCTCTCTGTGTAACTCTTTCAAATAAACAAATAAATCTTTTTTTTTTTTTTTTTAAAGGAGGAGTAACATTTCTGGGGATGTCTCCTGTCACAAGGAGTAAAATCAATTTTTCACAGCACTTGTGTAGAAGTTGGGAGGAAAAGGGGAATCACTGTACAATTCGGGGAAAAAAGTTTTCTAGATCCTTCTAAGTCAGTTTTTCACATTTCAGTTGTATTGAAATGTGTAAGAAATACACTATCAAGTCAAAAATTTGAAATTAATTTTATTTTTGTTCCAGTCTTTAATAGTAACATAAACTCATAAAACTGAAGAATGTAAAGTTAGTCTGATGTTTAAGTGATTGTTTTGGGTGTCACTGGGATATAAGATGAATGAGACATAGTTGTTGCCTGGAAGAAGCTGAAACTAAACTACTTGTCCTGTGGTAGGGGTGGTTTAATACCGACAAAAATTTGCATTTTTCTTAAGTGCTGAAGTAGGAACAATCAGAACAATCAACCATGTCCCAGGCACTTACAGCCATGAACTAACTACCATCCTCATTTAGAAATTCACAGACTGACGCACAGTGAGCTTGTGTGGAAGGTCACATGGCTATGGAGCAGCAGGGATTGGACACTCTGCCTTCCAGTCTCTGCTCTTGGCCAGCGCTATTTCACCCTTCTGCTAAGTCACAGCTCAGCACTCAAGGCCCACCTTTCTCTAAGAACATGCACCCAGCTGTACTTACCTCTTCATATTTAAACCCTTTGCCGCCTTAAGTCTGGGAAAAAACAAATGCATTTTACCTTTTTTGGTGAAAAATTCCTTGGAATATTTTCCTGCCACAATGAGCTTGCGTGGTACCTTCCCCAGAAGTTCTATGATCAACGCAATGTGATCTGTATGTTTCAAACATTACAAGAGGGAGAAAAAAAGACATACATAACAGGTGTAACAAACAGCAGAAAGCACAGTGTGCACACCTCTCTGGAAAGCATTTCAGGCTTGCTTTCTGTCCTGTTCGGGAAGAGGACCAACCCATCTAATGGAGAATCCGGGAAACCATCAGTGTAACCTGAGTGACAGCTCTCAGCTATCTTGGTGTGGATGCTCTGCTTCCTGAATTGCGTCCCTGTGGCCTACATGAACAGTCATGGTCACTCACAAAACCGCTTCTGCAACTGGAGTCCTTGTGACTCGTTACCTGAGGGCAAAGCTTCTTGGAACTCTGCCTATCAGTTCTATAATGTGTGCAATGTAGTCGAAAATAGAAGGGCAAGATAGCAGTAAGATCAAGGACAAGCTGTAATACAGGTTTTTCTATGAACAGGCTTTTCAAGGACTAGCCGTTCAAATGCAGCTACAAATAAAACCAAGGATACAAGGGGGAAGACTGGGAAGGCTGAGAGTTATTTCAGCTGGCTGACCACCTGACAGTAGTTGGCAAGTCCTGTTTTGGATTTTGGAGGCTTATTTTTGTCTAACTGTCTGGGTTCAGGTGGGTTCTTCAGGTAAGGTAAAAAACCATACAAATACACTTTAATCACTCTACAACTGTATTTATTTGTCTACTCTAATGCTCTGGGTTTCAAGAGTAAAAGTATCACCTTCTATACAGAACATTCACAGGAAAACCCTCACATCTGGTAAATTCTATGAGTTTTTATGATCACCCTGTACAACAGGTCAAAGATCAGTACCTCATTACAAAGACAAGAAAACAGAACCTCAGAGAAAATCAATGGCCTACTTGAAGCTTCGGGGCCAAGAGAGCTAGAATGCAACTGAAAACCCTCATGTCTTGCTAGAGCTTTACATTTTCTTCCTAAAACTCATACTTTTTAATTAGAAAGTAGCACAAACATTTTAAAATACAGCTACAGGACCAGGCTACTTAAATGTCCAGGTCAAATAGTGACTCATAATAGTCACGGCATGCTCCAAGGGTGGTGTGCAGTCTGCTGGCTGCAGGTGGACCTGAGACCAGCCACAACTCATTGCCTTTTAATGCTTTAGGTAACAAAACTAAGAATATGAAGAGGTGTTCAAAAAATGTTGGCTCACAGCCAGAAGTTTTTATAAATGACTCTAAACTCACAGAATCACTGAAGATTCAAAGGAGGCACTTAACATTTTCCATTTCTGCATCTGCCAGGGGAGATAACATGTCTGGGATTCTGTGAAAGTCTCATATAGTATCTCTTTCACATGGACAGATCCAGCACGGTCGTTTTAAAAGGACTTTGCATTCATGAATTCACTGCAATCTTTGTGCAGTTTTGTCAGAATACATGGTTTGGTAACAAGCACCTCGCTGCCAAGAAATTCCTGCCATTTTTAGGCAGGACTTGCAAATAAATATCTATCTATACAATACCATTAACAATAATCAAAGTGAGAATATCAAAGACAAAAATGAGACTACAGTTTCTCTTACTGTAAACTTTCCAGAGAAGTACTGATTTGCTTAATGTTTTCCTAGGGCCAGTGTTATGATATAGCAGGTACAACGCCACCCCATGCAGCACTGGCATCCCATGTGGGCACCAGTTCGAGTCCTGGTTGCTCCACTTCTGATCCAGCTTGCTGCTGTGGTGCTTGGGAAAGCAGCAGAGGATGGCCCAAGTGCTCCAGAAGAAGCTCCGGGCTGCTGCTTCAGCCTGGAACAGCCCTGGCTGTTGCAGCCATCTGGGGAGTGAATCAGTGGATGGAAGATCTTTCCCTGTCTCTTCCTCTAACTCTGCCTTTCAAATAAATAAAATCTTTTAAAAATCTTTGTTTCCTATAATAAAGGGTTATTTTCCCCCTTGAAATTGTTATTTATATATAATTGCAGCAATTTATCTCTGGCTTTTCAATTAAATATTGATTGATATACTTGGATGGGAAAAACGATCAAGTATTACCCCAGAGTTAGGACTGTGGGATGGCAACAGCAGAGTCATGGTACCTAGGCCCCCGTCCCACCATGACTTGTAACCATCATGAATGCACTGCCAGGGGATAAAGGTTTGCCTCTTCCCACTCTCACAGGCCACACTGCAGTGAAATGGTACAGAGGGGCTGGGGCTGATCTACGGATGATTAGTATTGGCTAGCACAGGAGGAATAAATTAGGATCTAAATATCTGGGGAAGATGATTCCCCTGTTCCCTTACTTTTCATATATATTTCAATTTTCAGGTTTGTCAGTTATGGTCCTTAGTATGACTCTGTGCTACATACTAATATTTGTAGAGAAAAACTGATTATTTCCCTGAGCAGATTATGGTAGGGTACTTCTAAAACACTGTAAACCTGCAACACGAACTTAGAACCCAGAAAAAAAAAAAGCAAGCGGAGGACAGGGAAAATCATGAGTATATATGGGTAGTAATTATAGTATCTTGCAACAATGAGTACACACACAGACACACACACACAAATATGTAACAGGTCTAAACTTCCCAAATCTACCAAAATAGGCACTTGGCTATGGAAAGTAGTTAGTACACCATTTTCTCAACAGCACTTGTTAGTAATCTTAGCAGGCCCAACATCGCCTGTTACTATCCCAGGGGATCACGCTTTGAGAAACAGCAAACATTCTTTGCTTTGCAGAAAACAAAAACCCAATTTCCCAAAGCCTGGAAGCAAACACAGAGAGCAGAGAATTCTGCACACTGGGAGGAGTCACCAGTGCTCGCTCTCAGCATCCTCACTCATCCTGCAAGCAAAATAAAAAGTTGCCTAGACTGTTATAGTGAATCATTTCTTCATTTGACTTACTAACTCCTCTACTGATCTGGGTGCTATCATGATGGGAAAATCAGACATACATGGTTGTCTACCTCCGCAGCCTCTTGGATGGAGCAAGTGACAGCCTGGGCTTTTTCCATTGGCTACCACAAAATGTAAATCCATTGTATTTCGTTTTACAGTGGAATTCTAAATATATCATTTAAGAAGAAAATATTGGGGCTGGTGCTGTGGCACAGTGGGTTAACGCCCTGGCCTGAAGCGCCAGATTCCCATATGGGCACTGGTTCAAGTCCCAGCTGCTCCACTTCCAATCCAGCTCTCTGCTATGGCCTGAGAAAGCAGGCCTTGGGCCCCTGCACCCGCGTGGAAGACCCGGAAGAAGCTCCTGGCTCCTGATTGGCACAGCTCTGGCCATTGCGGCCAATTGGGGAGTGAACTCTGACTTTCAAATAAATAAATAAATAAATCCTAAATTTTTATTAAAAAAGAAGAAAACATAACTTTAGCTTTCAGAAAACAGAATAAGAATGCTAAATATTGCAGAATTTATACAAACAGGACACAGTTTCTATACCCTATTCAGGTAGTGTGTTTCATATTAAAAGCACTGACTCCCAAATAAGGGAGGAGGCATAACTAAGTAACGGGTTGCTGGACAGGTAAATTCAAACTGGATAAAGAATAAATCACTAATAAATACAGCAAGGAAGACAAACAGATGCTGGAGAAAAATTTACCTGGCAACAGAAATTTTAACCAATCGTGGCCTTAAAATAATGTAATATGTCTGATGCCTAAGATAAAGTATTTTCATATTTCCGTCTTTTCTGGGATTCCCATATACTGAGCACACTACTAGGATGAGCACGGCTGCTCATTGCTAACGAATGACGTTAATCCCAAGTGGAGAATCTGACTGCTCTGTGCAGACATCTTCAGTTCAGGCACTCACCTTCATCTCGAGTATATTCTTCCCCTGAGTGGGGCTCAAACAAATAGTCACCCGTGGCCAGTTCAAAGGCCTAAGAGGAAAAAAATATGAAAACATCAGAGGAAAAGGTCTTTGGCAAGTTATTGCTCTTTGACTTAACTAGTCTTTCATCCATGCAAAAAAATCACAACATTGGATGAGAAAATTAGCAGGAGATCTAACTTGTAGATGATCATTTTATTTTTTAATTTTTAAAAATTTTCTATTTTAATAGTCTGAAAGACAGGATAACAGAGGCGGACAGAAAGGAAAAGAAATCTCCCACCTAGGTGCTACACTCCCAAATGCCCACAACAGTCAGGATTAGGCCAGGCCTAAGCCAGGAGCCAGAACTCAATCCAGGTCTCAACATGGGTGGCAGGGACCCAAGTACTTGAGCCATCACCTGCCACTTCCCAGGGAGAGCATTAACAGGAAGCTAGAATGGAGAGAGGTGCTGGGCCTCGAACCTGGGGACTCTGCTATGGGATGTAGGCTTCCCAAGAGACATCTTAACCATAGTGCCAAACACTCACCCCGTTAAAAAAAGTCTAAGGTTATTCCTAAAGTTTTTCCTTCCATACCCATACTTTACTAACATGGAGAAAATAGGAAAAGCTCAGTTAAACTAAATCAACACATGAGTTATTCCATGGCAAAAAGCAAAGCCAAAACCAACACAAACAAACACACACACACACCCAGCAAGGCATGAGGAGAGACTGGGCAATGTGTCCATTCGAACAATAAGTGTACATATTTATGGAATACAGGGTAATATTTCAATACATGCATAGATTTTAATGTTCAAATTAGGACTATTAGCATCTATTTCTTCATATATTCAAGATTTCTTTGTTGTGTGAACATTCAAAAGTCTTTCAGGGCCAGCACTGTGGCATAGCAGGTAAAGCTGCTGCCTGCAGTGCTGGCATCCTATATGGGACCGGTTCAAATCCCAGCTGCTCCACTTCCAATCCAGCTCTCTGTTATGGCCTGGGACAGCAGTAGAAGATGGCCCAAGTCCTTGGGCCCCTGAACCCGCATGGGAAGACCCAGAGAAAGCTCCTTGCTCCTGGCTTTGGATGGGCACAGCACCAGCTGTTGTGGCCATTTGAGGAATTAACCAACAGATACAAGACCTCTCTCTCTCTACCTCTGCCTCTCAAAATATAAAATAAAATAAAAAATCAACAACAACAAAAAAACACGGTGTTGGGAAAACTGACATCGACATGCAAAAGAATGAAACAAGACACTAATCTCACATCATATACAAAAATTATCTCAAAACAAATTAATGACTTAGACATTAAGACCAGAAACTATAAACTACTAGAATAAAACTTGGGGGAAAAGCTATACCATGTTAGTCTGGATAATGAGTTCCTGGGTTTGACCCCAAAAATGGAGATGACGAAAGTAGAAACAGATCAATGGGATTACATCAAATTAAAGTGCTTCTGCATAGCAAATAACTAACAGTGTGAAAAGACAACCAATGATTGGGAGAAAATATTTGTAAGCCATGCATCTGGTAACAGCACATGCAACGCTCTGAATGTTTCCTCCAAAGTTCATGTGTTGGAAACTCAATCCACAATGCAGAAATGGTGGGAAGAGGAACTTGATAGGAGACAGACACAGAAAAAAGAGCAATCTCCCAGTTTCTGGTTCACTCCCAAATGGCTGCAACGGCCAGTGCTGGGATGGGCCAGCCAGGAGTCAGGAGTTTCATCCACATCTTCTATGTGAGTGTGGGAGGCCAAATACCTGAGCCATCTGCTGCTTTCCCAGAAGCATCAGCAGGGAGCTAGATAGGAAGTAGAGCAATTGGGACTTCAAGTGGCTTCCATATGGGCAGCACAGGTGCTGGCTTAACCTGCTACACCACAATGCCGGCCACCCAAAAACTTTTTGAAGTACCCTTGTATGTGTGAAATCTAAAAAAGCTGAATTCAGGGCTGGTGTTGTGGTGTAGTGAGTAAAGCTGATGCCTGCGATGGTGTTATACCACGTGGGAGACTTTTTGTGTCCTGGTTGCTTCATTTCTGATCCAGTTCCTTGCTAATGGCCTGGGAAAAGCAGCAGAAAAATGACCCAAGTTTTGGAGCACTTGCCACCCATGTGGAGGACCTGGATGAAGCTCCCAGCAAAGAGTGCTGGCCATTATGGTCATCTGGGAGTGAACCAGTATCTCCCTCCACCCTATCATGTAACTCTTTCAAAATAAATTAATCTACAAAAAAAAAAAAAAAAAAAAGTTGACTCCTAGGAAAGAAAAGGTAGATGGTAGTAAAAGGGGTGAAAGAATTAAAGGGAAACAGGAAATTTAATTTTCACTACAACATTCACTACAATTTTTCTGGAAAATATGAAGAGTTAGTAAATCATGGAGTCATGTCTCATTTCTGCTATAATGATAGCTGGTTGTTCAAATCATGGGGACACTAAGTTGAACATGGCTTTGAAACTCATTTGAAACCAGAAATGTTATCTTGTTAATTTTTGTTTAGTCATCAACTTACTGCCTCTTAAGCATGGAGAAGTGATATCATTAAAGATCTAGTGTTTGGGGCTCTAACCCCCCCAAGAGTGCGAAGCAAAGTAAATCTGCCTTAACAGGCAGGAAAAATGTTCTGAGACTAGAGAGGCTGAAGATAACAACAGCAGTCAGAGGCAGAAGAAAAAGCCAGCATCACCTGATATCAACTCCACAGAACAAAAGGGATGCTGGGGAAACTGCAGAGGATGCTTCAAAAAGTTCACAGAATTCAAAGTTTATTTTGGTGTAAAAATTTTGAAATGCATGCATAGTTTTTCCATATTACACACCTTCTATGAACTTTTTGAAGACTCCTTATACTCTACCACTTGCTTACTGCTTTAAATGTAATTTCTCTGATCTTACCTTAGAAGGAAGTAAATTATTAGTAAAAGCAAATAAATGGTTCTAAATCAGGGGTATGCATAAAGATGGCTGAGGAACTTTTCCAAAATGCTGTGTCTACTGCACAACCCCATCTCCCTGTCTACAAATCATAGACAAAAGTCCCTGCCTCACACAAAAAGCATCAAGAAAAACAACATGTATTTCAGGAGGTGACAGGTTGCATGAAAAAAATGATAAAGTGGGGACTGTTTTAAAGGCTTCTCTGAAGAGGTTATATTTGAGCCAAGATCTGAATAACTTGAAGGGGAAGGTACACCTAAAGGTTCCAGAGTGAGAATGAACTTGGCCTGAGAAGGAAAAGAAAACAGGAATCTGAGCAACCAGATACAATTAAAGAATACAAAAGAGGGGAGGTAATATGATTTAAGATTTATGACTATTAAGGCTGCAATGTGAGAATGTACCATAAAGAGAGAAAAGCAGACATAGAGAGAAACTGGGTGGCCACTGTAGTGATCCATGTGCAACAAGATGATGTCTTGGGTCACAACGGCCTAACAGAGAACTAGGAACTGGCTGCTATAGGACAGCCCCCAAAGGAAGGACACACAGAACTTGTGGATCCACTAGGTTAGAGCCTGAGAAGGAAAAGAAAAAAAAAAAAAAAAAAAACTAGACTAAGGTTTAAGATTTTGGTCTGAGTGACTGGATGGTCATTACAAAAACAGGGTCTGTGGGATGAACCAAGCATTATATTTTGAAAAAGCTGGGTAAAGAGCAGAAGAGAGCTGAGGCTGGAGATGTCAAGGGACTTGATGAGATCACCCAGGAAAGGAGGTTTCCATTAATTGGTATAAATTAAAAGTAAATGAGGGAGAGGGTGGCACTGTGGTATAACGGGTAAAGCCACTACCTGCAGTGCGGCATTCCATATGGGCGCCGGTTCGAGTCCCGGCTGCTTCACTTCCAATTCAGCTCTCTGCTATGGCCTGGGAAAGCAACAGAAGATGGCCTAGGGGGCTGGCGCTGTGGTGCAGTGGGTTAATGCCCTGGCCTGAAGCTCCAGCATCCCATATGGGCACTGGTTCGAGACCTGGCTGTTCCACTTCTGATCCAGCTCTCTGCCTATGGCCTGGGAAAGCAGAAGATGGCCCAAGCCCTTGGGCCTCTACACTCGTGTGGGAGACCCGGAAGAAGCTCCTGGCTCCTGGCTTTGGATCGGCCAGTTGAACCATCGGATGGAAGACCTCTCTCTCTCTCTCTGTGAAATTCTTTCAAATAAATAAAATAAATCTTAAAAAAAAAAAAAAGAAGATGGCGGCCCAGGTCCTTGGGCCCCTGCATCCACGTGGGAAACCCAGAAGAAGCTCCTGGCTTCGGATCATTTCAGCTCTGGCCACTGCAGCTAAATCTTAAAAAAAGAAAGAAAGAAAGAAACGCCTAAAAACACTCTGGGGAGCAATCTGCTTTAAGTTCCTGCTAGCATGCAAAAAAAGTAAACAACCAAGGCAAGGGACTGCTGTAGGCTTGGAGTTCAAGCTCACTTTTCATTTGGTAATCAAAGTATTCCTAAAATACTATGCGAACTGACACACAGAAGTCACATAGGATGAAAACAGCAATCTAGGACATTCTAGCTGGAGGCAGCACACAGTCCTCCTTCTCACTCACTTGCTATTCACTGGGGTTATAATGAAGGTTCTGTAGACAGCCAGCTACAAATCACCCTTGGGGAGCAACTATTTGCTCCCTCAATTCATCCTGCATCTTACTCTGCTTAGAAAACTTTAGAACAGGTTGAGGGCTGCGCATGTTATCACCTCGATCTCAAGTGCAGCAAATGCTCCACTCTCCTCCACCTTCACCCACGGCAATATTGGGGAATTCAGATACTACAGCACACACCAATGGCAGGGATCTACACAGAAGACATAAACCCTAACAACTATATCAGAGAAACCGACTGTGAACAAGATTATATACCTTTTTTTTGGTGGTTGTATGAACTGTGGCAGTAACAACAAAAAGTCAAAAACAAAAGCAGACCTATGGGCTTCAACTGTGTGGGGTAAGGAAACTTCATGAAAAGAACTCAAAATATTACTTATTAAAATGGTATCACAGGCCATCACCACGGCTCACTTGGCTAATCCTCCGCCTGTGGCGCCAGCACCCCAGGTTCTAGTCCTGGTTGCCCCTCTTCCAGTCCACCTCTCTGCTGTGGCCCGGGAGTGCAGTGGAGGATGGCCCAGGTCCTTGGGCCTTGCACCCCATGGGAGACCAGGAGAAGCACCTGGTTCCTCCCTTCGGATTGGTGCGGTGCACAAGCCGCAGCGCGCTGGCCGCAGCAGCCATTGGAGGGTGAACCAATGGTAAAGGAAGACCTTTCTCTCTGTCTCTCTCACTGTCCACTCTGTCAAAAAAAAAAAAAAAAAAAGGCATCTGTGACTTGAACTGGCACTCTGATAGGGGACGTGGATGTCCCAAGCAGCAGCTTAACCTGCTGTGCCACAACATCCGCCCCACTAAACATATTCTGGGATGGACAAGGATAGCAAGTTTACCCCATTTCCTAAATATCTATCTGTAGCTGTACTGACGGAGGCTCTCATAAGTGCCACAAATCTTGCTCTGAATTTCATACAGGAGCAGGTTCCAGAAAGCAATCACTTCGAGAGAGGAACACAAAGGTACTACAGAGTCCACAGAGGGGCTGGCGTTGTGGCATAGCAAGGTAAGCTGATACTTGTGATGCCAAAAGGCAGCCCTCATTGGAGTGCTGGTTTGAGTCCCCACTGCTTCGCTTCTGATTTAGCTCCCTGCTAATGCACCTGAGAAGGCGGCAGAAGACTTGAGCCCTAGCAACCCACGTGATGTAGAGAGCCAGATGGAGTTCTTAGCATTGCAGAGTGAACTAGTAGGATGAAAGATCTGTCATTCTGCCTTTTCTTTTTTTTTTTTTTTTTTTTTTGACAGGCAGAGTGGACAGTGAGAGACAGAGAGAAAGGTCTTCCTTTACCATTGGTTCACCCTCCAATGGCCGCCGCAGCCAGCGCGCTGCGGCCGGCACACCGCGCTGATCTGAAGGCAGGAGCCAGGTACTTCTCCTGGTCTCCCATGCGGGTGCAGGGCGGCCCAAGCACTTGGGCCATCCTCCACTGCACTCCCTGGCCACAGCAGAGAGCTGGCCTGGAAGAGGGGCAACCGGGACAGAATCTGGCACCCTGATCGGGATTCGAACCTGGTATGCCAGCACTGCAGGAGCAGGATTAGCCTATTGAGCCCTGGCGCCGGCCTCATTCTGCCTTTCAAAAAAAAATGTTGATGGCAAAATGGAATTATAACATACTTTTTTTTTTTTTGACAGGCAGAGTTAGACAGTGAGAGAGAGAGAAAAGTCTTCCTTTTTCCCATTGGTTCACCTCCAATGGCCGCCCTGGCCGGCGCGCTGCGGCCAGCACACCGCGCTGATCCGATGGCAGGAGCCAGGTACTTATCCTGGTCTCCCATGGGGTGCAGGGCCCAAGCACTTGGGCCATCCTCTACTGCACTCCCGGGCCACAGCAGAGAGCTGGCCTGGAAGAGGAGCAACCGGGACAGAATCCGGCGCCCCGACTGGGACTAGAACCCAGTGTGCCGGCTCTGCAAGGTGGAGGATTAGCCTAGTGAGCTGCAGCGCCAACTATAACATACATTTTTACATGCACTTTTTTTGAAGACTCCTTATGTTTTCCCCATAGGGGAGAGGTAGGAATACATCCAAGGCCTGGGGAGGAAGGTAAAGTCCTCCTGCTAGTCATGGTCTCCCATACTTTGACCCCAGTGTGTGGAGACTGTTACTTCTTATCCTTCCTAGATATTTCCTCTTTCCCTTTTTATAACTGTCCTTCTAACTCAATCACAACATGGCAGGCCATCTCTCAATTTGTCTTTTTACTATAAAGGTCCCAATCTCTCTAGCAATCAGTTGCACTGTATACCAGATGATCTATCTTTGCAGGCATTTCTGAGATTCCAAGATTTATTTATTTTTTCTGAGTACAACCAAATTTAAAGCAACATTTTCTATGCTTTTTCTATCATTTTCTATTGTCAAAATGATAAATTTGGAGAACAAATGTGGCTCAGGTTTGCTTTCCATCCCCTGGCCAAGTAAGTTCTGACATATGAGCGGATCCAGAACTTTGGAAAAGTTAATACCTCCTTTATCTTCTTCCCTCACTTCTTATTTATTTATTTGAGAGGTAGAGTTACATTGAGAGGGAGAGATAGAGAAAAAGGTCTTCCGTCTGCTGGTTCAGCTCCTCAGAGCTGCGCCAATCTGAAGCCAGGAGCCAGGAGCCTCCTCCGGGTCTCCCACGCAAGTGTAGGGGCCCAAGGACCTGGGCCATCTTCACTGCTATCCCAGGCCATAAGTGAGAGCTGGATTCTTCCCTCACTTCTTAAATGTGACATTGCCTATGTTAAATAGCTATCAGGAGGGAGCTCTTGCTCTCTGACAAAATTGGAATGTGGAATTAGAAAAAGAAACCAAGGGCCGGCGCCGCGGCTCACTAGGCTAATCCTCCGCCTAGCGGCGCCGGCACACCGGGTTCTAGTCCCGGTCGGGGCACCGGATTCTGTCCCGGTTGCCCCTCTTCCAGGCCAGCTCTCTGCTGTGGCCAGGGAGTGCAGTGGAGGATGGCCCAGGTGCTTGGGCCCTGCACCCCATGGGAGACCAGGAAAAGCACCTGGCTCCTGGCTCCTGCCATCGGATCAGCGCGGTGCGCCGGCCGCAGCGCGCCGGCCGCGGCGGCCATTGGAGGGTGAACCAATGGTAAAGGAAGACCTTTCTCTCTGTCTCTCTCTCTCACTGTCCACTCTGCCTGTCAAAAAAAAAAAAAAAAGAAAAAAAAAAGAAAAAAAAAAGAAAAAGAAACCAAGGTCCTCATTTTCTTGTACCAAATAACCCATTACTAAGAACCACATCATAATAAAGTCATGTTTTAATAAATGAGATACTCTATAAGCAAGCTATATTTTTCAGCTAGCAGCATCTTTACCACTTACAGTTTTCTATAGCAAATCAGCTCAAATAAAATCTCTTCAAACACAAAGCTTTGAAGTGTGGCAAGAAAGATGTTTGAGATTTTATTCCAATTCTCTTTCATCTCATGCAGTCACATCAAACCTTTATAGCCCTCCACTTTTAAAGACCACTGATAAACCGCGACAAAGGGCTTTCGTAAGTCACGCCACATTAACAACATGATTTTAACTCTACTCTTTTGAAATTATTTGGTCGTTGTCTCTGTTTCCTGGGAGGGAACTTCTAAGTCCTTAGTGCTTTGGTATGAACTGTGGGCTTCACAGATCACACCTAAGTTATTCATGAAGTGACTCATGGTGGGCTCCCAGTTTCAGCTGGAGGCGGGCCATGCTCTAAGACCAACCATGTGATCTGAGGGCTGGTGCACTCTAAATGTTCCAGGGAAGGGAAGAGGGTAGACCACATGGTCAGTGATTCAATCAACTGCGGTTGATTAATGAGATCTCAAGACACCTGAAGCTTGGATATCATCCTGGGTTGGTGACACATATCAATGTACCAGGAGGGACACTGATTCTGAGTCCTGCGGACAAGGAAGCTCCACATGCAAAACCATATCAGACCTCACCCTATTTATTTTGCTTTGATTTGTATTCTTCGTAATAAAACTTCATAATAATAGCAGTTTTAACACTTCCTGAGGAGGAAGTAGGAGCCCCCAGTTTGTAGCCACTAAGTTAGCAGTGTAGGCAGCTAGCAGACCCTGGGGATTGTGGTTGGTGTTTGAAATGAGGGCACTCTTGTGGGGAGTTACGCTCTTACTCTGCGAAGTCTATACTATAGGTAGATAGCATCAGAAATGAATCGCAAGCACCTATTCAAGGTGTGCCAGGCACTGAACCAGACCCTTAACTATACATAACAGACATGATTCTTGCCAAAACGGTGCTTATAAACCTATGGGAGGAGAAACCCCTCAGCAAATAAACATACAATTATAAATTATAAATTGTGATAAAAGGAGGACAGATCTTGAGGTGCTTACTCTGTTTTAGGAAACAATACTCACAGAACACATTCCAATGTGGTGTTATCTGTGAGAAATGATTTGCTGTCAACCAGATCTGATCATTTGAATTGTCAGGGACCAAGCAGCAAGCTATCTATCTGTGGATGACTGGCTTCCTATCTTGTGAGCTGCAAAGTGAGGAGCTGGTGAATTTCACAGCTTAAAGCAGTTTCCAGGGGTTTCCTTGGTCTACAGAGATCAGTGCTGAAAGAGCCAGGGTATCTGCCATCTTCCAGTGAAAACCAACAATGCTTCACAGTCATTGTTTCCAATGTCTCCTCCACCGCTGCACCTGTTGGTTCCTTGTCTTTAGTAAGAATTTGGTAGTAACCAAATAGAATGCCAGATGTTTACAACAGGCTTTTTGAATTCAGACTTCTCTAGACACAGGTATCTGTGATCAGTTACTTATAAGTTGTTTTTTTTGCTAATAATTTGCTGGTCTACTAAAACTAGCAAACAGGACAAGGTATGTAACTATCAGGTAGTACGTGAAGGCCAGCAGGTTAACAACATTACCATGCATGCCGTGCTCCAAATGTCAGCAGGGGTATTATATCCAGATCCTATTAGAACTTCCAGGGAGCGATATTGCCTTGTTTGAATGTCTTCGGTGAAATGTTTGTGCTAAGTAAATGGATAAGGAAACAGTTATTTTAAAATTCATTTACTCTAAAAGGCATAATATTGCTTAATAATGGAGATTAAAATAAATTCTCTGAAATTTTCCAAAGTTGCCATTAAGTCAATTTCTTAGGTATCATTTTGAGACTATTAGCTCCAAATAATCCCTCTGCCTTACACACAACTTTAGTCTTTGTAAATGGATGAGTGCAAACTTAACACAGACATACAGACCTAGGGAACAACTGGTGCCTGCTATGTGCAAGGTACTTTCCTAAGTACTACAGATACAGCAGTGAATAAAAAGTTTTTGTGAAAGGATATATGTTCTATGGAGAGGGAAATTAGGTAAATAAACACAAGTTATCAGATTATGACTAGTGCTGTGTAGAAAATAAAAGGAGGTGACAGGGAGGGATACAGTGAGAAAATACATGAATGACTATGATAAAACTATATGTGTTTGGAGAATGGAGGCTTGCAAATTATTTAGGTGTTCAGGGGAAGCACTCTCTGATTAAGATGACATCTGAAGAGTAACTTAAAGAAGAGGAGCGAGTGGGTTAAACACACTATTTTGGGAAGTTCCAGGCAGAAAATAACTGCTTGGTGCTGTATGAACCATGATGAGAACTTTGGCATTCATTTTGAGAGGAGTCAATGCAAGGTTAAGAGTATCTGACTTGACTCCCATTTACAAAGGATCACTCTGACAGCCAAGTTGACAATAGTCTATGGGGGGACAAGGACAGAAGGGACGAAAGTGAGCAGTCTATTACAATTATTACTGCAGTCACCTGAGTCAAAGTATCTGGTGGCCTGAACCAGACAGTAGTATGGCAGACTAATTCTACCTACTTGGAAAGCTGTTCCACATTCCTGCAATTCAGTGCTTAGTTCAGACTTCATTTTTGCTAGCAGTTTATCACAATGTTCTAGAATATTGGGAATGAGATCCTGCTGGGGTCTGAACCATTTCTTGTTTACAGAGCATATGGCTCTGAGATTTATGTAACAGATAAAATGATGTCCATTAAAAATAACCCAAATCTTCTACATACCTAGTAAAAAATTATAATACTTAATAAAATAATTAGTCATTTAGAGTAAGATTTTTATGATTTAACCTGAAGATTGGAGAAGAAAAACACCCCTTTAAGTTGTTAAAATATCCTTTCAGGAGAAAAATATGGCACTATACATCAAAAAGCCCTTAAAAAAAAACAAAAAACAAAAAACAAAAAAAAACCATCCAACTTTTGACTTCAAAATTCCATGGCTAGGATATTTCCTTAGGGCGATTATGCAATGATTCATGTGCAAAGATTTGCATCACAAAGAGCAATCTAAAACATGTTAAAGATTATAGTATACCAGGGAATAGTATGTAATCAATGGAATCTTATATAATTCTTGGTTGACAAAGAAGTCTCCATAATGTAAGTAAATTTTTTAAAGTATTCATTTATTTATTTGAAAGGCAGAGTAGAAGAGAAAGTGGGGAAGAGAGAGAGAGAGATCAAGATCTTCCACACTCCTAACAGCGAGGGCTGGCCAGGAGCCAGGAACTCCATCCAGGTCTCTCACATGGGTAGCAGGAACTCAGTTTCTTGGGCCATCATCTGCTGCCTCCCAGGTATACCAGGCAAAGCATGAAAGTCAGTGAGAGGGCTGCTGCTGTGGTGTACAGGGTTAAGCCACTGTCCGCAGGGCCAGCATCCCATATGCGCACAGGTTCAAGCCCTAGCTGCTCCACTTCCTGCTGGTAGCCTGAGAAAGCAGAGAGGATGGCCTGGGTGCTTGGACCCCTGTACCCACATGGGAGACCCAGAGAAAGCTCCTGGCTCTGGCATGGTCCAGCCCTGGGTGTTATGACCATTTGGGGAATGAACCAGTGGATGGAAGACGTCTCTCTCTTTCTCTGTGTAATTCTGCCTTTCAAATAAAAAAACAAAACAACAGAAAGTGAGTGAAGCTATGGATAAAACAAGATAGGCCAGGAGCTGAAATTACTGAATCTGGGTGATGCCGAGGAGGACTGGGGTGGATCATCTGTACTACAACCTTCTTTCCACTTTCATAAATACATTTGAATATATCCATAATTAAAGGTTAGAAGAAAAAGTGAAAACCACTGTAAGTATTAAGTAGCACTTTTATTTCAGTGCAGGTCTAAATTCTCATTTATTCTCAGTTACTTCAAAACATAGCACTGAGACAAGTCCGACTTACCACCCAACAGGCATTTCCAAGATCAGCAATCTTCACTTTGAGCTTTTCTGCATTTTTTGGCTCAAGGGGATTAACAAGAAAATTCCCAGCAGCATATTTTCCTACAGACAACAGGCACCATCAATATAACTATTTAATGAACACAGAAATATCCACAAAAGATAATAAAGGTTTCCAAGGTAAGAGTTGCATAGTTAGGTCTCCAACTGGAAACCTACAATAAATTTTCTACATTAAATTAAAAAGAGCACACAGCAGCACCTTGAGTTTCTAGAATCAAAAATCTTTGTCCTCATGACAACAAGTGAAATGCTGTGCCCGCAGTACACAAGGGTAAAATTTAAAATCAGTTACAACACTTACACATTGAAGTAACCTGGATACCTGCTATAAACCTACAGTCAAAACACATTAGCACTTTCAGTGTAGACATCATGAATGTGTTGTGCAGGGAAGGGATGCTGGGGAAGTGTTATCTCTTGGGTACCTTTGTTGTCCAGTGGTCCATTATGTTCTTGCTCTTGCTCATCATGTTCATCATCACAGGGTATCTCTGCCCGAATACTTTCTTGCAGTTGGCTGATGTCCTGTTCATTGAATGACTGATCTACAGTTGAAGAAGACTGGCAAAGCATGGTATCTGACACCTCAGAGGCTACAGGTGTACAAGAGTCTGTTTCTTGAGATGTGCTGCTGTCTCCATTTTGGGAGCTTAGGAAACTAGGTTCCTGCTTCAAATTTTGGACATCACAGTCATTAGCATTATGCAGATCCTCTTTAAGCCTCAATGTTTCTTTATTACTGTTCTCAGTATAATTAATGATTTCAATTACTCCATTGCAATTAATTTCTGCTGCACCACCCTCTACACCACGTTCCATAAGTGTTTGATCCTGGCCAATGGTACTTGACTCTTCTAAGGAATAAACAAACAAAAAAGGATCTTTGTGTATGTGGGAAAGAACAGAAAAATTTCTTATATAAGATCAAAACATTTTCTATAACTCATGCTGAGTGACAAAAAACATAACTTAATATCTAAGACCTATCTATGGAAGGACAAAGATCTTCTCATCCTTACCCAATTGTTAAACTTTTCCTGAGAAAAGTTAGAAATTACATTTGAGTATTACCTGCCTAACATTTATGATAAAATCTGTATTCTTGCAAGGACACCCCCAGAGATGTGCTGTATGTATAAAACTATCAATTATATAACAATGATAAATTAATGTCAAAGTGTGCCATAAAGTAATTTTTGTGATGCTCTATTTATACCAAGTTTTTCTTGGGTCATTTTATTAGGTGGGTTCTCTTTCAAGGGTCTTTCAACAGGACTCTCTGATTCTTCTTGCTTGTTAGGTCTTTTTTGCCCAGGGCCCGACTCTTTCTCCATTTCCTCAATTTCCTGCATTCGCTTCTCTAGTAATTCTGCCTGGCGCTTCTGCTTCTTCTTCAATTTCTTCTTCTTATTCTTTGACATTTTGTCAGCCTGGGCGGAGATTACAAACAAATAAAGCCTTCAGGTGGCTAATCCATTACCCCTAGTTGGAGATAACTGTTAATTTTAATCACTTCCTAATTAAATTTTACTCTTTCCCTAACATAGAACTTTAGGCTTTCATTTAACTTAAAAAGATACAGATAGTGTTATGAAACCAAGTAAAAACACAGTTAACAGCAATCTTGGCTTTTTGAGCCATCTGTGGTGCTAACATACTGAGACACATTCAGATTCATAGATGCCTCACCATTACAAACCTGCTTAAGACTGCATGGAAATAAACTGGAGAAAATCATGAAGTGCAGGGATTTTTTTTTTCCCCTTTGATTCCCAACCAAAAAACTACAACCATCCAAACAGAAGTACCCATGCCCACAGCCCACAGATCAGAATTAAACATAGAAACACCTTATACTTACTGGTTTAGGTTGGGGAGCAGTACTGACTGAAAAAAAAAGAAAACTAAGTAAGAATCCTGGCATACAGTAGGCAATATAATATAACCTCAGATCACTCCTACGAGAAATGTCTGTCTTGTATAGCCTACATTGTAGGGGAGACTATTGTTTTTAAGTGACTTTGGGGAAAACCACATTATTATTGTTGTATTTAAGGGATGCATAGAAAAGCTGCCAAATTTAAATAAATTGAATTCTTGCCCAGTAGCCCTGATCTATGCAAAGGTATAAAGTGTTCACTTCCAGGTTCCACTGCACATGCTGTTGAAATCACCTGCTTCCTATTTCCTTGTTCTGCCTCCAGCAGAAAGTAACAGGCAACCACCTCCTCACCCTCACGTTTCATCTCCAATTCTTCCTTCTCGGCTCTTGTCAGTTTTAAAAGGGGAGTCTAGGTGACACCAAGGTCTACAGTAATTTGACATATAAAATAACACCTTATGGAAAACAGTTTAGCTTAGGTGGGATCTTCAATCTTCCCTTTTAAAATATTTGTAATCATGGTTTTAAAAAACAACCTGTAATATACAATTTAGTGCCTCTTAAGTGTATGGTTCAGTAGCATTAACTATGTTCACATTATTGTACAACAGTTTAACAGATTCCTAGAAATTTTTTACCTTGCAAACTGAAACTATACCCAAAGAACTCCATTTCTCTCACCTCCAAGCTTGTTTTTTAAAAGAAGTCTATAGGGGCCAGCACTGTAGCACAGTGGGTTAAGCTGCTGCCTGCAGTGCCAGCATCTCATAGGAGTGCTGGTTCAATTCTCGGCTGCTCCACTTCTGATTCAGCTCCCTGCTAGTGGCCTGGGAATAACAGTGGAGGATGGCCCAAGTCCTTGGGTCCCTGCACCTACATGGGAAACTCAAAAGAAGCCCCTGGCTCCTTGCTTTAGTATGCTCCAGCTCTAGCCATTATGGCCATTTGGGGAGTGAACCAGAGGATGGAAGATCTCTTTCTCTCTTTTTGTAACTCTGCCTTTCAAATAAAATTTAAAAAAATTTAAAAACAAGTCTATAACTGATATTTCAATTTGTAATAATAAAGTTCTTCAAGTATGTTTAAACTACTAAAATTAAAATTTGTACCTCAAGTGGGAAAAAAATCATAACCATAATTTATTTACACAACAAAATTCTGAGGCTTACTACTAACTGCTTTAACCTGAAATTTAATCCCAATAACTGGTGCAGGAGAGTAAATGAAACCAAGGAACTCAGTCAAGGTTTCCCAGACAACAGTGAAGACAAGATTCAAACCAGTCATGCTCTAAATAGCAATACTATTTTTCCCCTCTGCAGAACACAGATCCATAGGTGAGCATGTGGGATTAAGGCAAGAGGTGATTATGTTAAGAAGTAAGCATGACCAACAAATCACGAGAAAAATCATTTATAAACAAGAATACGAATTAGCTTTTATACTAGACAACATAAATCTACGTAAAAGACAACAATCTCAAGCCTTCTTCCCATATGGGAGTAATAATGAGAATAAAATAAGTCTCTTGAAGGCTGATACTATTTCTGAATATTTTATGTTAAATAATAGAGTGGTGTTTAACTCCCTGGTATTAGAATCAAAATGGACATTTAGCTTCTAAAGAGAACAGAAATCCTCCTAAGAAAACACACCTGCTGACCCGGAAGGTGGTGGCGCTCCAGATCGCTGCCACTCTGTTGCTTCTGCAGCCAGTCTCCGAATGTAGTGCTCGTTCACTGACAACAAGATGTTCTCTGGTTTAATGTCAGTGTGGATGATACGGCACTTGGTGTGTAAATAATCCAGGCCCTGTAACACCTGAATGGGAAAGAGCAGATCTGTAAATACAAATACAAGTCTTTCTGGAGAAGGAAGAAATTACAACATTGGAAAAAAAAAATGACATGGCAGTGCTTTCTACAAATAACACTTTAAAAAAAAAAAAAAAGCACCAAGAAATTTCCCTAGAAAGACTGTGAACTGCCCAAGTTTTACAAAGCTAATTCTATTTGGAGACTTTAAATATAGACATTAAAAGACTGAGAAAAATGCTCACAATATACAATTTAAAGTGTTGAAATGTAGGTGATAAAAGAGATTTTGGTATCTTATCTCATATTTCCTCACTGATAAAAAACAGATCTCTTTCTTCCCAATTTGGAGTTCCTTCAAAGATATGCTACCCAAAACAAATTATCTGCCTCTTGAAATATTAGTACTTTGCTTTACAAATGATAAAATTCTATAATGTACATCAAAGGCTATTTAGAGAATGCCAACAAATAATGTTATATAAAAAGATGCTAATAATTTGACATAGCAAATCTGTTAAAATATAATTAATATTTACAACCAAAACTTATTAGGTAAGGGCTCCAATATTCCAAAGTCAGGTACATACACAGAGCCCTTCCCCCTAACAATTATAACAGATGAACCTGGGGGGGAAAGTTATGCTAACACATTTAAAGAGAGAAAAAAAAAAACAAACAAACACGATAAACCCCCAAGGATGAATAAAATATTTAATTCTAACAATTAAAAAAAAATCTAGCTTCTAAAATGAAAATTCTATTGGAAATTGGAGACTCCTTAACACACTGAGAAAAATGTGTATACATACAAAAATATGTATACATACATACACACACATACGAAGCCATCACCATCATATAACCAAGATGAAGATACATACTTGCTGAATAATTTTTTTGACACAAGGCAGTGGAAGCCCCTGATAGTTGGACTTGATGATCCACTTGAGCAGATGATGCCCTAAAACTTCAAACACCATGCAGATATCTGGAAGTTCTTTAAGGAGGAAAACAAGCACAAGCAAAGAACAGGGCGAGACAAGATGTGGATTCCACCCCAAGGGGAACGTTCTATATTATTTTTTCTCAAAACATAACAAAAAGTTATGGAGCTTAACTGAAAAAAATATATGGTTGTCAATATTCTAAAATTCCACAGTTCAATGCTATAGTTAATAAAAATACCCATGAAACAGAAAATTGTGAGGGGCTGGCTTCCTGGTAAAATCATGCACATTAAAATTCTCAAAAGCCGCAGCCTGCAGTGCCAGCATCCCATATGGGTGCCGATTCGAGTCCTGGCTGCTCCACTTCCGATCCAGTTCTCTGCTATGGCCTGGGAAAGCAGAAGAAGATGTCCCACGTGCCTGGGCCTCTGCACCCGCATGAGACCTGGAGGATGCTCCTAGCTCCTGGCTTTGGAGCGGCCCAGCTCTGGCCCTTGTAGCCAATTGAGGAGTGAATCAGCGGATAGAAGACTCACTCTCTCTGCCTCTGTACCTCTGCCTTTCAAATAAATTAATTTAAAAAATTCTCAGCAGTAAAAGAAAAAATTAAACCTATCCACATAAGAAATGAGATTACTGGGCTCAGGCTCTTGATCAGTTTCAGGTAAAAGTCAACTAATGTCCAGCCTAACCACCACCACTCCTTCACACTCAAAGCAAAACAAATTCTTCCTTAAAAGACAGCACATAAAACTTGGCCTAAAAAAATGAAAGCACCAATATTTTTAAAAAATAGCAAACAGACTTGCTTTATGCTCTGCAGTTTACAAAGTTAATATTGTAATAATAATATTATGATTATATTATAATATTATAATAATAATAATCTAGCGCCACCAAGTGTTCTCCTTGCATACAAACATCCCAATCACACCATAAGCAGGAAGTCTTAAGCTGACTGGTTGTGCAGGCTCACTGCAGGGGTCGTAGCAGTATGTTGATGTCTTCTACCCCTAGGAATTCTACATATATTGGAATGTTCAAACATACATATATACTAATCACCTACTGCCCAGAATTTTGGTCTAAATAGGATTCCCCACTAAAACAAAGTTTAGGCTCCTTGGAAAAAATGGTCAAATTCAAGGCTACTGGAAAGGGTAAGCTTGGAATACGTTGCTGATGCTGTACCACCAAATAAGGGAAAAAGTCACGAAGATATAAGCCGCCATTTTGAAGAGGGTGTCACTGACCAAGAATGACGTTTGAGTTAATATAGTAATTAAAAATAGAATGAGGGGCCAGTGTGGGGGTGCAGAGGTTCAGCTACTGCTTGTGATGCCAGCATCCCACACTGGAGTGCCAGCTGGAATCCTGATTGTTCTGCTTCAGACCCAGCTTCCTGCTAATGCACTGCACCTGGGAAGGCAGCAGATGACCCACATACTTGGGTCCCTGTTATCTACTAGGAGATATGGATGGAGTTTCTGGCTTCTGGCTTTGGCCTGCCCAACCCAGGCTGTTTCAGGCATTTGGAAAGTGAACCAGTGGATGGCAGATCTGTCACTCTCGCTTTTGAATAAATAAGTAAATCTTAAAAAAATAAAAAGAGGGGCCAGTGCTGTGGCATGGGTTAAGCCACTGTCTGCAGTTCTGGTATCACCTGTGGATGCTGGTTCAAGTCCTAGCTGCTCCAGTTCCAATGCAGCTCCCTGCTAATGTTCCTGGCCCAGTGCTGGCTGTTGTGGTCATTTGGGAAGTGAACCAAATGGAAGATTTCTCTATCTCTCCCTCTCTCTGTAATTCTAACTTTCAAATAAAATAAATCTTTAAAAATGAAAATTAAAAATTAAATCCATACTATTATTAAAGTAAACATGAAGGACATGAAGGGAAGGAAGTGACTTATTTATTTATTTGAGAAGTAGAGTTATAGACAGAAAGAGGGAAAGACAGAAAGGTCTTCCATCTGCTAGTTCATTCCCCAAATAATTGCAAAGGCTAGAGCTAAGTTGATCCAAAGCCAGGAGTCATGAGCGTCTTCTGGGTCTCCCACATGGGTACAGGGGTCCATACACTTGGGCAATCCTCCGTTGCTTTCCCAGGACATCAATAGAGAGCTGGATTGGAAGTGGAGCAGCCAAGACATGAACTGGTGCCTGTATGGGATACCACCACCACCAGCAAACTTAACCTACTTTGCCACAGCATCAGTCTCACATGAAGTACTTTGTGATCTATAAAAGAACTATATAAATGAGCTCTTCCTATGAAAATCAGAGGAAGATCAATCCACTTAGATAGGGAGGTAGGACTCAGAGCTATACATCTTACTGCACATCTGAAAAACTGATTGAGGCAGGTGTTGTGGCACAGCAGGTTAAGCTGGATTGGAAGAAGAGCAGCTGGGACATGAACTGGCACCTATATGGGATGCTGGCACTGCAGGTGGAGGCTTAGCCTACTATGCCACAGCACTGACCTCAGGAAGTGACTTCTCTAGAGAAGAATACCAAGTAATAAATATACAAGGTAATCTCCATTTTATTATCACTACAGCAATCACTAAGTAAGAATCAATGAACACTAATCTGCTGGGTAAAAGGACTGTCACAGCACCAAAGCATCATTCCACTGATGGCTTAATTATTAGAAAACAAACAAGGAACTTTTACAACAGAGAAATCTGGAAGGGACTGTAGTCAAACTTATCACCAGCAATTACAAGCACAAAGATGGCTCAAGTACCTGGGCCCCTGCCACCTATGAGAGAGAACCAGATGCAGTTGCAAGCTCTGGGCTTTCCCCTGACCCAGCCTCAACCATCTGGGGAGTGAATCAGTCAGTGGATGGACAATTTCTCTCCCTCTCTCTCTCCTTCTCTCTCTTTTGTCACTCTGGCTTTCAAATAAATAAAATAAACCTAAAAAAAAAAAAAAAAACAAAAAAAAAAACCAACAAGAAAAATAACCAAATGTAGTGGAGAATGTGGTGTAATTAAAACTCGCATACTATGCTAGTGGAAGTGAAAAATGATACAAGCACTTTAGAAAACTGGCTGACGAAGACCCATCAGTTGGTTATGGAGCAAAATAGAAAAACTAGATAGCTTGATAGTAAAAGACTGACAGAGGCATCATAAGAAAATTTACAGGGAGTGTCACTGTGGTATAGCAGGATAAGCCACTGCCTATGATGGTGGCATCCCATATGGACACCAGTTTGAGTCTTGGCTGCACCACTTCTGATTCAGCTCTGGCTGATGTGCCTAGGGAAGCATGGCTCAGGTGTTTGGGCCCCTGAACCCACATGGGAAACCCGTAAGCTCCTGGCTTTGCCTTGGCCCAGCCCTGGATTTGTGGCCATTTGAGGAATGAACCAGTGCATGATAGATCCTACTCTCTCTGTAACTCAGCCTTTCAATAAATAAATAAATCTGAAAAGAAAATTCTAAGATCAGCAGGATAACTGAATCTAATTGAAAACTGATCCCTGTTAAAAATGAGTAGGGGCCGGCGCCGCGGCTCACTAGGCTAATCCTCTGCCTTACAGCGCCGGCACACCAGGTTCTAGTCCCGGTCGGGGCACTGGATTCTGTCCCGGTTGCCCCTCTTCCAGGCCAGCTCTCTGCTATGGCCCGGAAGTGCAGTAGAGGATGGCCCAAGTCCTTGGGCACTGCACCCACATGGGAGACCAGGAGAAGCACCTGGCTCCTGGCTTCGGATCAGCGCGATGCACTGGCCACGGCGGCCATTGGAGGGTGAACCAACGGCAAAAAAAGGAAGACCTTTCTCTCTGTCTCTCACTGTCCACTCTGCCTGTCAAATAAATAAATAAGAGTGCCAATTGTTAAATCAACAACAGGAGTCACTGTGCATTCACTCCCCATGTAGGACCTCTGTCCTTAATGGGTTGTACTATGAGAATTAATGGTAAAACTAGTCTTCAAACAGTACTTTATACTTTGTGTGTCTGTGTGGGTGCAAACTGTTGAAATCTTTACTCAGTATAGAGTTGCTCTTCTGTATATAAAGATAATTAAAAATGAATCTTAATGAAGAATGGAATGGGAGAGGGAGTAGGAGGTGGGACAGTTTGGGGGTGGAGGGCAGAACCGCTATAATAAGTTGTACTTATGAAATTTATATTAAATAAAAGCTTTCTATAAAAAACAGGATAACTGAAATCAAAGGGAAACATGAAAAGAAAAAAAAAGTCTCAGAGAGATGATGTAAAGGAAACACCAAAGGGATGAAAAAACTGAGTAAGGGTTGTATTGCAGGGTACGTTATGAATAAGAGGTATCAGCAAGAGACAAAGTATACAGTGAAAAAAAAAGTATCCTAAATACAGAGGAGGTCATATTGATAGCCAATGACTCACTAATGAATTTCAATATCATAGAGAGGGCCAGCTGTCCCTTCTCAGTCACTCTTCTCCCCTCAACCTTGAAGGACATAGATTTAGCCAATTTATGTTGAAATCAAAAGTAACCAACATTAATGTGAGAAAGGACAGCAATCCAGAAAAAAGGCAGTATGCCCAGACATAGAAAAAAGTACGATATATACCTCTGTGCAGGTATGTTGTGATATGAAAGTGAATAGAGGCAGAAGCATGATATAACTCCTTAATCTTTATCACAGTGCTTCTAGTTATACCCTTTGCAATTTTCAATAGCAAATAAGCAGAGACATGACAATTGGGAGATAAGTAGGAAGAAGAGCAGACAGAGAAATAGCTAAGGACAAGAGGAGAATAAAACAAGGCTTCAGTAGTGAACAACTAGAGAAACCATCTAGTAATGTTTGGAAAATATCTCAGAATTTGAAATTTCAGCCAAGACATCTAAAAAAAATTCTTGCTTAGGCCTAAATAAACATACTCAACATTACTGAGAACATAAAATATCTTACAGTTTTACTTGTACTTTTCTACTTACAAAGAAATGTGGCAAATGACAAGGCTACTATGACATCGGTGTAAGCTTTACATACACACATGATACTGTTTTAAGATGGATATAGTAGCTTTCCTTAGAGATCTGGGGATCTTTGATTTTTATTTCCTCCAGGAAATGACTAAGAACTAACTTCAAGGGCCAGTGCTGTGGCACAGTGGGTTTAGCTGCCGCCTGCAGACCAGCATCCCACATGGTCACTGGTTCAGGTCCCGGCTGCTCCACTTCTGATCTAGCTCCTTGCCAACGTGTCTGGGAAAGCAGTGAAAGACGGCCTGAGTGCTCTGGCCCCTGCACCCAGGGGTATAGCTCCTGAGTTTGACCTGGCCCAACCCTGACTGTTAAGGCCATTTAGGGAGTGAACAGCAGATGGAAGATCTCTCTCCTTCTCTGTAACTCCCCTTTCAAATAAACAAATCTTTTTTTTTTTTAAAGGAACGTCACATTGATATTTTTCACATATCACTTTGTTCTTTTTCTCATTATTTCTTCATTTCTTCCCATAGTCCACATGAAACCAGTCATATGCACCTCATTTTCCTTTAAAAAAAATCATCAATGGCAATTAAGAATGTGTTACAAAAAGCACAGAAAGTAGAATGACAGATGAAATGTCATTCCTTAGATTTTTTTTTTTTTATTAGGCAGAGTTAGACAGTGAGAGAGAGACAGAGAGAAAGGTCTTCCTTCCATTGGCTCACCCCCCATTGGCTCACCCCCCAAATGACCACCATGGCCGGTGCACTGCGCCGATCCGAAGCCAGGAGCCAGGTGCTTCCCCCTGGTCTCTCATGTGGGTACAGGGCCCGAACACTTGGGCCATCCTCAACTGCCTTCCTGGGCCACAGCAGAGAGCTGCCCAGGAAGAGGAGCAACCGGGACCAGAACCTGGCACCCATATGGGATGCCAGCGCCAAGGTGGATGATTAACCAAGTGAGCCACTGCGCTGGCTCCATTCCTTAGATTTTAAAATAGTTTTTGGACTGGCAATTTTAAATTTTTCAATCTGAGAAAAATAATACTTCACCTTTTTTTTTTTTTTTTAATTTTTTTTTTTTTTTGACAGGCAGAGTGGACAGTGAGAGAGAGAGACAGAGAGAAAGGTCTTCCTTTGCCGTTGGTTCACCCTCCAATGGCCGCCGCGGCCGGCGCGCTGCGGCCGGCACACCGCGCTGATCCGATGGCAGGAGCCAGGAGCCAGGTGCTTTTCCTGGTCTCCCATACGGGTGCAGGGCCCAAGCACCTGGGCCATCCTCCACTGCACTCCCTGGCCACAGCAGAGGGCTGGCCTGGAAGAGGGGCAACCGGGACAGAATCCGGCGCCCCGACCGGGACTAGAACCCGGTGTGCCGGCGCCGCTAGGCGGAGGATTAGCCTAGTGAGCCGCGGCGCCGGCCAATACTTCACCTTTTATTCTGACAAATCTAGACATTTATAAACATAGCTGTTGCAACCTTTCAATGAGCTTACTGAAGATCACTTCGATTGTAACTTGTAAAGAAAATCAGCCAAGGTTTCTTTCAACTCTAAAATTCTAAAAATATAAATAAAAACATAAACAAGTCAGTTTTGGAGGCCTGTACTGTGGCCCAGTGGGTTAGATGCTGCCTGTAATGCTGGCTACCACAGCACTGGTTTTGTCCCTAACACTCTGCTTTGGATCCAGCTCACTCCTGATGTGCCTGGGAAAGCAGTGGAAGATGGTTCCTGGCTTCAGCCTGACCCAGCCCTGGCCATTGTAGCCATTTGGGGAGTGAATCAGTGAATAGAAGATCTCTTTTTCTCTCTCTCTGCCTTTCAAATAAATAAATATTTTTTTAAAATAGTCTTTTCATGATAGATTGTTAACAATCATAGTTGTTTAATTATAAACACAACCTACATATAGTCTCTTAAACAGTGAGCCCTGGGGGCTGGCCCTGTGGCATAGTGGGTAGGGCTGCTGCCTACAGTGCTGGCATCCCATGTGGGCACCGGTTTGAGTTTGGCTGTTCCACTTCCACCCGGCTCTCTGCTGTGGCCTGGGAGAGCAGTGGAGGATGGCCCAGGTTCTAGAGCCCCTAGACCCATGGGGGAGACCTGGAAGAGGCTCCTGACTCCTGTCTTCAGATTGGCCCAGCTCTGTCCGCTGTGGCTGGAGTTGGGGAGTGAATTGGCAGATAAAAGACTTCTCTCTCTTTCTCTCCTCTCTCTGTGTAACTCTTTCAAATAAATAAATAAATCTTTAAAAAAAATAGTAAGGCCTGGTGGGTAATAAATAAATCTACCTTAAATTCTTATTTACTCATTATTTTTCCTAGAAAATCACTTCCTTTAAAATGCCTGTCCCAGCGGCCAGCACCGTGGTGCAGTGGGTTAAAGCCCCAGCCTGCAGTACCAGCCTCTCATATGGATGGCAGTTTGAGTTCTGGCTGCTCCACTTCTGATCCAGCTCCCTGCAAATGTGCCCGGAAAAGCAGAGGAAGATGGCCCAGCTCCTTGGGCCCCTGCACCCATGTAGGAGACCCGGAAGGAGCTTCTGGCTCCTGGCTCCTGGCTTTAGATCAGCTCAGCTCTAGCCACTGTGGCCATTTAGGGAGTAAACCAGCAGATGGAAGACCCTCCTCTCTCTGTAACTCTTTCAAATAAATAAAATAAATCTGTTTACAAAAAAAATCTGTGCCAACTTGATAAAGCTTACAGAACCTTTATTTAGTAATACAAGGCTATTCACTTAAAATATTTCTTTCATGCTAGTTTACTTTGCTTGAAACGGGGGGAAAACCTGAAGCAATATCCTGAAAAGATGATACCTCAAAAAAACAGACACAGTTCAGATGCGTGTTCCTAAGTATACAGTGAAAGGTAGCTTTACTGCAGTTTGCCTTGAGAAAAGATATCTTTGCTACTTACACAAATCTGGTTCCTTTCTTAGGGACAGTTATTTCACAATTTATTAAGAATAGGTTCTTAAAAAAGGATACGAGTTCCATTAACTCCTGATATTTTAAAGTCATCTAGTAGCTGAACAACCATTTCTCTGTTGGGATCATTAGGGTCTGAATTGCGAACCTGTAGTGGGGAAGAGGCAGCATTTAGTCAAAAGGAGAGTAAAGAAATAAACCAAGAGTTTGAGCAGCAACACCTGCAACAAATCAACTCCAGACTAATTCAACCATTTTGTTGCTCAAAATGTGGCCTCCAAACTGACTATGGGTTTCCAGGTTATTAGGAATCAAGGGATCAACTATTGATCTAATCACACTGTAAAAGATATGTTTACTCAAACATTGTTCCTTTTATCACAGTAAGAGAGAAAAACATTTATTACAGTGCTACCTGGTACATAAAAACATATTCAATGAATATTTTTATTTCAAAGTATTTTTTCATACGTGTGTGTTTAGGAGGAATTCTAATCAAACCAAATACCACCACTTCCCCTCCACATGCACAGAAAAGTGTAAATATCAATCTTCCTCCATCTCTTTAAGGATGTAGTAATTTTATAGTAAAATTAGGCATGCTAAAGAGTCTACCACTTGGTGTCTTAATTCAATAAGACTTTTATGCTTTGCACTTCACATATATGATCTAATACTCACTGATTTCAGCAACCGGATTTCATCTAGTGCCGTTTCAGTATAATGTTCAGCACTTTTAACAACTTTCATTGCCACAAACTTCTTCCCCCTAAGAAAAAAAACAGAGGCAATTAAGATGAAATATCCCACTCTTTTTTTTTTTTTTTTAAAGCTTTTCAAAGATTTATTTACAAAACAAAGGGGGAGAGACAGAAAGGCAAAAGAGATAGAGAATCCAATCTACTGGTTGACTCCCTAAATGCCTACAACAGCTGGAGCTGGAGCAGGATAAACCTGAGAGCCAGGAACTTAATCCAGGTCTCCCATGTGGTGATAGGGACCCAATTACTTGAGCCCTCACTGCTGTCACCCTCCTAACCTCCATGGTCTACATCAGCAGGCAGCTGGAACTGAGAGCAGAGCGGACTCTAACCCAGGCCCTGGTAAGGCACATGGGCATCCCAAGTGGTTGTTAACCACTGCACGAAATGTCTGCCCCAGGAAGCTAACACTTAACCATAACCGTGAGGAGACAGAGAGTACAAATACTGATGTGATGTTTGCCTAGAGTCAAACACAAGGTGTGTCTATCGATCTGTTGTATCTTTTTATTTTTATTTCTTATTTTTTGACAGGCAGAGTGGACAGTGAGAGAGAGAGACAGAGAGAAAGGTCTTCCTTTGCCGTTGGTCCACCCTCCAATGGCCGCCGCGGCCGGCGCGCTGTGGCTGGCGCACCGCGCTGATCCGAAGCCAGGAGCCAGGTGCTTCTCCTGGTCTCCCATGGGGTGCAGGGCCCAAGCACTTGGGCCATCCTCCACTGCATTCCCTGGCCACAGCAGAGAGCTGGCCTGGAAGAGGGGCAACTGGGACAGAATCCGGCACCCCGACTGGGACTAGAACCCGGTGTGCCGGCGCCGCAAGGCGGAGGATTAGCCTAGTGAGCCGCAGCGCCGGCCTCGATCTGTTGTATCTTTTAGTGGCACTAATTGGCCAGACCTCACTTAGAGTCAGAAAATCTATTTTCAGATAATCTCAGTCATTGAACATTTCCTGTAAGTTAAAAATCCAACTTCTGAACATCTACCTGAAACAAGTAAAACCAAGAAATGGGGATAAGTTAAGAGGGGAAATCCCACCAGATCAGAAGCATTCTCTGTATCTGTTAGGCAAAGTTAAAAAAGTAAATACTTTGCTATAAGAAGACAGAAGTATCTGCATGAAAAAAAAAATGAGAAAAATCATAAAAATTCAAATAACAAAAAAGTACATAAATAGCAATCACTGTCTCATCAAAGACAATACAGTTTTTTTTTTTTTTAAAGATTTATTTATTTATTTGAAAGGCAGAGCTACAGAGAAGCAGAGACAGAGAGAGAGGTCTTTCATCCGCTGGTTCACTCCCCAAATGGCTGCAATGGCCAGAGCTGTGCCGATCCAAAGCCAGGAGCTATGAGCTTCTTCCAGGTCTCCCACATGGGTACAGGGACCCAAGTGCTTGGGTCATCTTCTACTGCTTTCCCAGGCCACAGTAGAGAGCTGGATCGGAAGAGGGGCAGCCGGGACTAGAACTGGCGCCCATCTGAGATGCCGACGCCACAGCAGAGGATTAACCTGCTATACCACAGAACTGGCCCTGCCAATACACTTTTAAATATTCAAAATTCAATAAATCTGTAACAGGGGGCCAGTATTGTGACGTAGTGGGTAAGGCTGCCGCCTCCAACGCCAGCATCCAATATGGGCACTGGTTTGAGACCCGGCTGTTCTACTTCCAATTCATCTCCCTGATAATGTGCCTGGGAAAGTAGTGAAGGATGGCCCAAGTGCTTGGGCCCCTGCACCCATGTGGGAGATCCAGAAGAAGATCCTGACTCCTGGCTTTGGCCTGGCTTAGCCTCAGCCATTGTAGCCATTTGGGGAGTAAATCATCAGATAGAAGATCTTTCTCTGTCTCTTCCTCTCTCTGTGTAACTGACTTTCAAATAAAAAAATAAAATTTGTAGTTGGCTAACTTTTAAGTTGATAATCTTGTATGGCTGCTAATGATGTAATAAATATCCAAATGGTCCTTGGCAGAAAAAAGGTTCCCCACCCCTTGACCATTATCTAAAAATTTAACTCTGCTCCAGTGAGAAGACACTTACTTATAATATTTCCAACACTTTGAATTTGAGATCTACAACTGCTTTACTGACACTAATCAACCTTTTGTCTCTAAGGCAGAGAGGCAGAGATATAGTACTGATTCTTCATGAGTGGAAAGTGATTTGTCCAAAATCATAAAGATGATATTATCAACAACAAAATGCCAGGAAATCTGCCTAGAGATGAGACTGAAGCCTGAATCATCCTTGGAAAAATCAGATGAAAACATACACGTCATCTCACTGATTCTTTTACAGGACCACTGAAACTTACTGAATATCCCATGATAACCACACTGTAGAAAAGTGACCCCAGCCCAGCTTTCGAATCACATGGTATCTCCCATTGAATAGATCGCCAATTTTCACAAGATGATAACCTCCTGGAAGAAACAACAGAGGATATAATCAAAAAAACCAAGATGAGAAACAATTACAAATAGTAAGAAGAAGTATCTCACAGCCAATTTTCAGCATCTATACAACTTTTATCAAATAAAGTTTCTGTACAATTTAACAGAACAAAATGTTAACACTCAAATCAGCCACTCAGTATTACTAAGCTCCTGTTACAAAACAAATTCCAGTGAATAAGAATAATGATTTAAACATGTGATACCCTGTAGAACAATCTCATCCTCAAATAAAAACAAATTTATGTGTCACAATATTCTTGTTCCTCTATAAACTAAACATATAATTATAGTTGCAGCCTCAGGTTGTTTTCTAGCTTATGCTCGACAGACCAAATATCCAAATGAGGAAGCACAAACAGATGACGCCGTAGTACCTCCTTATGGAATTACCTTTACAGTAATCATTGGGATCTTCCTGCTCGTCATCATCGGATCCCAGAATCTCCTCTTCCTGCTCTGGTAGGTCACTCTCAGAGTGGGGAGCAGAACCTCGGTGCTGAGTTTCAGATCTAAGAAATGATACAAACATGTTCATTCCATATGAACAGAAGAAAATAGTTTTTAGAAAATGACATCAAACTTTTCCCTCACTAAACTTTCAGCCATGTAAGTAGAGGATTACCAAGTGGCAGCCTAGGAAAATATTAGTTATAGCCTAATCTCATGTAGGAAGACACTAGTTGGCCGGCACCGCAGCTCACTAGGCTAATCCTCCGCCTGTCTCTCACTGTCTAACTCTGCCTGCCAAAAAAAAAAAAAAGACACTAGTTTTAAAAAAGTCACTGAGAAAGCTACTGGAATTTCTTCTACTATTTTGTTGTATCCTCATGAAAATATTTCTGTAATCACAGAATGTTTAAAAAAAATTGTGTTTCCTATTTTTCCAGTTACACTGTTTCTATGCAATCTCTTGAATCTCAATGTTTCCCTTAGAATTATCACAACTTTGGCACATTCTCTCAGCTGGACATGTAACACAGAGATTTCACCACTAAAATAAAGCTGTCAAGTATTTTTAGTAATATTTATTCTGAATTTAGAATTACTCCCCGCCGGCCGCGGTGGCCATTGGAGGGTGAACCAACGGCAAAGGAAGACCTTTCTCTGTCTCTCTCTCTCACTGTCCACTCTGCCTGTCAAAATAAATAAATAAATAAATAAATAAAATAGAATTACTCCCCGAAAGTTAACTACTAGATACAGAGACATTCCCCCATCTATAAAAATGCTAATTGTAGAAAACTTAGAAAACATTCATTTTCAGACACCTCAATCTGGAGAACTATTAATATTTTGGACTATTTCCTTCCAAACCCGTGGTCAGGAATGCTTTTAAGGACTGTCATGTAGTATGATAGTTTTCCAAAAGGATTGCAGTAAGCTCCATCCCCATCAGCCCTGGCGTAGAAAGCTTGGTTATCTGACAGGTAAAAACACTATCTCCACGAGCCATGCAACATTGCAAGAGCATAATGACTCGTTATATCTGGGGCTCTTCAGCTCTCAACTGAACTGCTCTTTTAAAAACAAGATACCGCCGGCGCCGCGGCTCACTAAGCTAATCCTCCGCCTTGCGGCGCCGGCACACCGGGTTCTAGTCCCGGTCGGGGCGCCGGATTCTGTCCCGGTTGCCCCTCTTCCAGGCCAGCTCTCTGTTGTGGCCCGGGAAGGCAGTGGAGGATGGCCCAAGTGCTTGGGCCCTGCACCCCATGGGAGACCAGGAGAAGTACCTGGCTCCTGCCATCGGATCAGCGCAGTGTGCCGGTCGCAGCGCGCCGGCCACGGCGGCCATTGGAGGGTGAACCAATGGCAAAAAGGAAGACCTTTCTCTCTGTCTCTCTCTCTCACTGTCCACTGGGCCTGTCAAAAAAAAAAAAGTACCTTTAAGTTAAAAAAAAAAAACCCACCTTATAAAAAATGAACACATCATCACAAGTTTTCTACACTGGTAAGTTTAGGAGGCAGAAAAACAGATTTGCATTTAGGTTCTGACACTGATCAGCTGCCTGCTTTACGGAGTTTTAAGGAAAAAAAATTAATAAAAATAAAGCAGGATTACACAATATACTTTTCAGTAGTTAAAGGTAAAGGAATTTTAATTTCCAGTTTTCAATATCTATCTTTTTATAAGACTGTTTGACCAGATTGTTTTTTCAAAAAATTAAATTTTACAAAAGAATTTTAATAGCAAAACCAGTTATAGGGTATTACTGAGCTACTAAGACCTAACAATACCTTGGTGAGTATGACTAATGATTTAGATTTAGATTGTTGGTGGCCACTCCAACTTTCTCAATTTGTAGTAATTTTTTTGTCCCCAGAGTACACAAAAGTAGCCATAAATCAGCATGATTCAATGTTCATTTTTAGTGAAGACATATCTTTGGGAAACCTTAGTAGTGAATTGGCTTCAAGTTCCTAAGTGGAAATAACAAGTATTCTGAAATGTGAGATTAAGATGGAAAAGCAAACAGATCTTTGATTTAAATTTAATGAAGGTAAATGTTACCTTTTACAATTTTCATAGTAGACACAATTGTAACTGAAAGTGATGAAAATCAGATTTTACAATACTGAAGTACCCAAATTCTTCAAGTATCATGGGAATTTTAAAAAAATCACTGTTTAAAGATTCAAACCATTTCTGGAAGCAAGTATTTCTGTTGAGTTGTTTTTCCACTCTAGAAGGTTATTTCTTTCAGGACCTTCCTTCCTACCTTTTTTTTTTTTTTTTTTTTTTTTTTTGACAGGCAGAGTTAGACAGTGAGAGAGAGAGAGAGAGAGAGACAGAGAGAAAGGTCTTCCTTCTGTTGGTTCACCCCCCAGATGGCTGCTTACAGCCAGCACGCTGCACCAATCCGAAGCCAGGAGCCAGGTGCTTCCTCCTGCAGGGTGCAGGGCCAAAGCACTTGGGCCATCCTCCACTGCCTTCCTGGGCCACAGCAGAGAGCTGGACTGGAAGAGGAGCAACTGGGACAGAATTCGGCGCCCCAACCAGGACTAGAACCCAGAGTGCCAGCGCCGCAGGCAGAGGATTAGCCTAGTGAGCCACAGATCTTCCTTTCTATCCCCATGTTCTGAAATTTCCTGAATGGGTTTTTAGAAGTCTATATTTCGGGGCTGGCGCTGTGGTGTAGCAGGTAAAGTTGCTGCCTGCAGTTGGGGACATCCCATATGGGCACTGATTTGAGCCTTAGCTGCTGCAATTCTGAATCCAGATCTGCTATGGCCTGGGAAGGCAGTAGAAGATGGCCCAAGTCCTTGGCCCCTGCACCCATGTGGGAGACCTGGAAGAAGCTCCTGGCTCCTGGGTTCAGATCAGCTCAGCTCTGGCCGTTGCAGCCATTTGGGGAGCGAACCAGCAGATGGAAGACCTCTCTCTCTCTGCCTCTCTATAGCTCTGCCTTTCAAATAAATAAATAAATAAATAAATCTTAAAAAAAAAAGTCTATCCTGCTATGTACTTTGTCCTGGCAAATTAGAGACTCAGTCAGCTCAAAAAATTCCCTGCTGAATGTAATCTCCACTTTCTGGAACTACCAATTCAGATACTGGGGCCTCTGTACACTCCATTTATTTTATTCTATCTTGTCTCATTTTCCATCTCATGTAGTGTTTTCTTTCTTTTTATAGCTGAATAATATTCCATTATGTGGATATGCCAGATTTACCCACATATCAATTTACGGGCTTTTGATTATCATGAATCATGCTTCTGTGAACATCCTAGAAGCAGCATGCGTGATCATGTTTACAGCAGCACTGTAATAGTCAAAAGCTGGAATCAACTACATGTCTAACAACAGAAGACTAGGTAAGTATGTTATGATACAATGAAATATTCTCAACAGTGAGACAGAATGCATCTGAATGAATAACTTCCACAAACATGAGATGGAGTAAAATATAGCAAACTGCAATGTTTAGAAACATACAAATCTGTTGCTTGGGAATGGGCAACATATTTAAAATATAAAGAAATTAAAAAAAAAAGGACTTACTAATCTACAGGGGAATTGTAATATAAGGAGAGGTACACATGGGCATTAGATATAAGGCAATTTATTTTTTAAGGTGGGTAGGACCTACTTAAGTGCTTATAATATTATCCTTTTTCTTTTTGGATATCTGAAATTTCTTATTTTAAAAGTATTTGCTACGATAGTTTTCAGGTTCAAGTAGAATCTAGCACATGCCTGGCTTAAGGTTTCACACTTGGGTATCTTAGGGATCATACCCCTCAAGTTATCACAAGAAGTGACTTTGTACTCTGTAAGGTTAATTATGCAATTATTATAAAATAAAAATGGGAGAATGCAACTGCATATTTTAGCTTATGAACAAATTTGTACACATGAAAAAACATTCTCATTACTTCTTTATTTTATGGAGAATTAACAGTTCAATAAATGAAAAATATAAATAGATAATTTGAATAGCAAACAAGCTTGATCTAAATTGATGTATTTCACATAACATCAAAGTTTCTAGATATTTTAGTTGAGCAGGAAATGAGGAGGAAAAAGGTCATCACTTTATTGTTAGTGTGAAACAAATGAATTTAATTTGTAATAAACAGAAGCAGTTAAGTTCGGCATGTCTTCAAGGAAAGCTCCTTAACAGGGGCCAACATCGTGGGACGGCGGGTAAAGTGCTGCCCAGGATGCCAGCATCTCTTATGGGTGCTGTTCATGCCCTGGCAGCTCCGCTTCTGATCCAGCTCCCTGCTAATAGCCTGGGGAAAGCAGTGGAAGAAGGCCTAAGTGCTTGGGCCCCTGCCACCCATGTGGGAAACCCAAATGAAGCTCCTGGCTTCATCCTGGCCTAGCACTAGCCACTGTAGCCATATGGGAAATGAACAAGCAGATGCAAGACCGAGCCTCCTCCCACCCCGTAACTCTTTGAAATACATAAATCTTTAAGAAAAAAATAGACAAGATAAATCTTAAAAAAAAAAAAAAAAAAGAAAGAAAGAAAGCACTACAATATACATCATTAAAATGAAAAAGACGGGTGTTTAGCTTACTGGTTAAGAGATGACTGTGCTCCATACTGGAGTGCTTGGATCCAATACCTGGCTCTGGCTCCTGACTCCAGAGAGTCAGACCTTGGGAGGCAGTGGTGATGGCTCAAGTCACTGGGTCCCTGCAACCCATGTGGAAGACCCAGACTAACTTCCCAGCTCCAAGCTTCAGGTCAACTCAATCCTGACCATTGTGGGCATTTGGAGAGTGAACCCATGGATGAAAGCTTTCTCTGTTTCTCTCTCAATGATTTTTTTTAAGTAAAAAAGAAAAATGGTTGAATAATATAGTATGATTCACTTATCATATTTTTCTTAAAAATAAAGTATGTCTGTGCATATATTCATATATAAACACAATGGAAGATTTTAAGGACACAAACAACTGTTAACAGGGGTCCCTTTTAGGAAAAAGTAAAGCATAAGAATGTGGGAGAATACAAAGCAAGTATCCTATTTATCCTTTTAAATACAATTCTGCAATTT